GGAGGAGGTGCAACGAAGGTTGTTGCTTCCAGGTCTTTGGAGAGTGAGGGTGGCGGTGGGAAGATGCGAGGGATTAGAAAGAGCCAAACCACCAAGCAGTAATGTGGGGTCTCCTGTCCTAGCCCACTGGCCACCAGCCAACCAAGCAGTAATGTGGGGTCTCCTCACCTGGACCAGCTGCCAGCCCACCAGCCCACCAAGCACTGCACTGCACTGCTGCTTTCCGCCTGAGGGATTTCGAAAGTCATGCTGCCTCTCTGCCCGAGGCAGCGCAACAAGCATTTCAGTTATAATTCCCCTTCCACTCCTCTTCAAGACTGCGCTGCTCTACTAGAAGAAAGGCATTCCGCCTGGTACTCGAATTCGATCCTAAGGCCACTCCCATCACTCACGCTGACAGCCAGCCACTGTAACCCTATGCGCACGAGAGGTGACATTTGAGACAACTCAGAATTCACATTACGGTGCCGCGCAACATCATGTTTGCTCACATCGAACCTATCGCTCTCACTGACAGGCTACCATAACCTTCTGACCACCAGCTGCTGCCAGACCACTGATTCCCTCACTACTCGTCGTTTCATGCTGCTATGCGCATGTGACTGTTTTTATTTCTTCTCCTGTAACAACCCCACTATCTGCACCCCTCTCAAGCTGTCCAACCCGTGCATGTTCTGTTATCTGTCTTGTTTCTATCGTGCCGGTTTCCTTTCCATGTGTTTTTTATGGTCCTCTGGATGTGTTTTTGGAACTGTAAGTCCTGCGGCGGGTGGTAGTTTACCTACTGTTTATTCCTGGGTCGTGTGGCTTATCTCAGGCATGTACGGTACTTCCATGTGTAAATCCTCGAGTGCTGCTAGTTGCCTGATGGATGAACCTACTTGGTATCTTTTGCATGTAAAGCACTGTGATGATTATGCTCACATCTTCACCTCAGTGTTCCAGTGAACCATGTACCGTGATATTAATACAGCTCCTGGGGAGCAGGTTGTGGAACTGTTCCTGGAGTTTTAGCACCATGCATTGCAATAGCCTGCACACGAAAGCATGGTACTTCAGCAGAGATCGCAATGTAACTGGCAATATTGAAGCAAGAAATCACTGGGTGGGTCAAGCAGCTGCCAATCATATCCAGCCAAGGAATCCTGTGTCTAGCTAGCTAGCCAGCCATCCATCACCCTGTGCTCTCATGAACTCTGTGCTGTTGCGATCTGTGCGAATATGATTGTGAAGACGTGTGTTCCTGGCACAATGGAGATTACAATCTGCTGTAAATCCTCAAAGCTGTGAATTTAGGTAATTTCAGAACATTAGAAAAAGACTGCTCCACCACTCTGTCAGGTGCAACAGGATAGAAACATGTAAGAATAGGGAAAAGGGAAGGGGGGGAGGGGGTGGGGGGGAAGAACGGGAAAGGGGGGGTTCAGTCAGAGGCTGGTAACTGGAATAATTGCACAGTAACAAATGGGGGAAATCTCTTGCAATGTATAACCTGAACGGACCTGAGGAGGGGGAGGGGGGATGGCTGGGGGTTCAGGGGAGAAGGGTGGGAAGGTGCGAGAGCCTGCTAAGAAGGTGAAGAAGCCGCAGCAAGGGGAGGAGAGGGGCCGGTCTGTGCCAGGGCCGGCAGCTGCAGCAGGAGGAGGAGGGGAGGGAAGAGGGGGGGAGGGAAGGGGAGGAGGAGGTGCAACGAAGGTTGTTGCTTCCAGGTCTTTGGAGAGTGAGGGTGGCGGTGGGAAGATGCGAGGGATTAGAAAGAGCCAAACCACCAAGCAGTAATGTGGGGTCTCCTGTCCTAGCCCACTGGCCACCAGCCAACCAAGCAGTAATGTGGGGTCTCCTCACCTGGACCAGCTGCCAGCCCACCAGCCCACCAAGCACTGCACTGCACTGCTGCTTTCCGCCTGAGGGATTTCGAAAGTCATGCTGCCTCTCTGCCCGAGGCAGCGCAACAAGCATTTCAGTTATAATTCCCCTTCCACTCCTCTTCAAGACTGCGCTGCTCTACTAGAAGAAAGGCATTCCGCCTGGTACTCGAATTCGATCCTAAGGCCACTCCCATCACTCACGCTGACAGCCAGCCACTGTAACCCTATGCGCACGAGAGGTGACATTTGAGACAACTCAGAATTCACATTACGGTGCCGCGCAACATCATGTTTGCTCACATCGAACCTATCGCTCTCACTGACAGGCTACCATAACCTTCTGACCACCAGCTGCTGCCAGACCACTGATTCCCTCACTACTCGTCGTTTCATGCTGCTATGCGCATGTGACTGTTGTTATTTCTTCTCCTGTAACAACCCCACTATCTGCACCCCTCTCAAGCTGTCTAACCCGTGCATGTTCTGTTATCTGTCTTGTTTCTATCGTGCCGGTTTCCTTTCCATGTGTTTTTTATGGTCCTCTGGATGTGTTTTTGGAACTGTAAGTCCTGCGGCGGGTGGTAGTTTACCTACTGTTTATTCCTGGGTCGTGTGGCTTATCTCAGGCATGTACGGTACTTCCATGTGTAAATCCTCGAGTGCTGCTAGTTGCCTGATGGATGAACCTACTTGGTATCTTTTGCATGTAAAGCACTGTGATGATTATGCTCACATCTTCACCTCAGTGTTCCAGTGAACCATGTACCGTGATATTAATACAGCTCCTGGGGAGCAGGTTGTGGAACTGTTCCTGGAGTTTTAGCACCATGCATTGCAATAGCCTGCACACGAAAGCATGGTACTTCAGCAGAGATCGCAATGTAACTGGCAATATTGAAGCAAGAAATCACTGGGTGGGTCAAGCAGCTGCCAATCATATCCAGCCAAGGAATCCTGTGTCTAGCTAGCTAGCCAGCCATCCATCACCCTGTGCTCTCATGAACTCTGTGCTGTTGCGATCTGTGCGAATATGATTGTGAAGACGTGTGTTCCTGGCACAATGGAGATTACAATCTGCTGTAAATCCTCAAAGCTGTGAATTTAGGTAATTTCAGAACATTAGAAAAAGACTGCTCCACCACTCTGTCAGGTGCAACAGGATAGAAACATGTAAGAATAGGGAAAAGGGAAGGGGGGGAGGGGGTGGGGGGGAAGAACGGGAAAGGGGGGGTTCAGTCAGAGGCTGGTAACTGGAATAATTGCACAGTAACAAATGGGGGAAATCTCTTGCAATGTATAACCTGAACGGACCTGAGGAGGGGGAGGGGGGATGGCTGGGGGTTCAGGGGAGAAGGGTGGGAAGGTGCGAGAGCCTGCTAAGAAGGTGAAGAAGCCGCAGCAAGGGGAGGAGAGGGGCCGGTCTGTGCCAGGGCCGGCAGCTGCAGCAGGAGGAGGAGGGGAGGGAAGAGGGGGGGAGGGAAGGGGAGGAGGAGGTGCAACGAAGGTTGTTGCTTCCAGGTCTTTGGAGAGTGAGGGTGGCGGTGGGAAGATGCGAGGGATTAGAAAGAGCCAAACCACCAAGCAGTAATGTGGGGTCTCCTGTCCTAGCCCACTGGCCACCAGCCAACCAAGCAGTAATGTGGGGTCTCCTCACCTGGACCAGCTGCCAGCCCACCAGCCCACCAAGCACTGCACTGCACTGCTGCTTTCCGCCTGAGGGATTTCGAAAGTCATGCTGCCTCTCTGCCCGAGGCAGCGCAACAAGCATTTCAGTTATAATTCCCCTTCCACTCCTCTTCAAGACTGCGCTGCTCTACTAGAAGAAAGGCATTCCGCCTGGTACTCGAATTCGATCCTAAGGCCACTCCCATCACTCACGCTGACAGCCAGCCACTGTAACCCTATGCGCACGAGAGGTGACATTTGAGACAACTCAGAATTCACATTACGGTGCCGCGCAACATCATGTTTGCTCACATCGAACCTATCGCTCTCACTGACAGGCTACCATAACCTTCTGACCACCAGCTGCTGCCAGACCACTGATTCCCTCACTACTCGTCGTTTCATGCTGCTATGCGCATGTGACTGTTGTTATTTCTTCTCCTGTAACAACCCCACTATCTGCACCCCTCTCAAGCTGTCTAACCCGTGCATGTTCTGTTATCTGTCTTGTTTCTATCGTGCCGGTTTCCTTTCCATGTGTTTTTTATGGTCCTCTGGATGTGTTTTTGGAACTGTAAGTCCTGCGGCGGGTGGTAGTTTACCTACTGTTTATTCCTGGGTCGTGTGGCTTATCTCAGGCATGTACGGTACTTCCATGTGTAAATCCTCGAGTGCTGCTAGTTGCCTGATGGATGAACCTACTTGGTATCTTTTGCATGTAAAGCACTGTGATGATTATGCTCACATCTTCACCTCAGTGTTCCAGTGAACCATGTACCGTGATATTAATACAGCTCCTGGGGAGCAGGTTGTGGAACTGTTCCTGGAGTTTTAGCACCATGCATTGCAATAGCCTGCACACGAAAGCATGGTACTTCAGCACAGATCGCAATGTAACTGGCAATATTGAAGCAAGAAATCACTGGGTGGGTCAAGCAGCTGCCAATCATATCCAGCCAAGGAATCCTGTGTCTAGCTAGCTAGCCAGCCATCCATCACCCTGTGCTCTCATGAACTCTGTGCTGTTGCGATCTGTGCGAATATGATTGTGAAGACGTGTGTTCCTGGCACAATGGAGATTACAATCTGCTGTAAATCCTCAAAGCTGTGAATTTAGGTAATTTCAGAACATTAGAAAAAGACTGCTCCACCACTCTGTCAGGTGCAACAGGATAGAAACATGTAAGAATAGGGAAAAGGGAAGGGGGGGAGGGGGTGGGGGGGAAGAACGGGAAAGGGGGGGTTCAGTCAGAGGCTGGTAACTGGAATAATTGCACAGTAACAAATGGGGGAAATCTCTTGCAATGTATAACCTGAACGGACATGATGACTAACAGTCATAGGGTCAATGTCTTACCATTATCAGGTCACTCTCGTACCATTATCAGGTCAATGTCTTACCATTATCGGGTCAATGTCTTACCATTATCGGGTCAATGTCTTACCATTATCAGGTCAATGCCTCACCATTATCAGGTCAATCTCTTCGTCTGTCATGGGCTTCCGTCGAGGTTGCAAACTTGCTGCTTGAGGCCCCGGCTTCTTAGCATTCGTCTTTGCCACTTCACTCACACCAGCAACAGGAACCGCTATGGATTCTATAACCGGAGCTGCTTGTGAAGAGGATGAAGAAGAGCTGGCAACGGGAGCAGAAGGCTGGTGTGACGTGGCCGCCTTTCGCGGTTTTGAGGATGCTCCTGCTTGTGCTGGTGCTGGTGCTGATGTGAATTGTTGAAGCGAAGGGTTATTTTTTTGGGACGTTTGTGCAGCTGCTGGTGTTGGAGCTGAGACTGCGGGTAGGAAATGGATACGTCGAATAAAAACGGATACTAATCAGCACGGAAGCAACGGGGAAATGGTGTGAAGGCGAAATGGCGAAAGCAGGATGAGGTTGAACATAGCGAAAACAAGCTGTCTGCGCAAGAAAACGACGCTCACCTCGAGACCGGATTGGGAACTTGATCATAGGAATGCGCTTTGCCATGGTGACAAGGTCGCGAAAAATAAACCTACAGATGGCTGAGTTGCAACGCTGACTAAGCTCACAAGCTGCTTGGAACTTCAGAAGCTATGAGCGCGAGACTAGTGCGTGATGAAGGCCTGCATAGAAAACACATTCTATTGTGAACCCTAAAAAGTGAGTATCAAAAGATGCTATTGGGAAACAAGAGCGGTAACGACAGAAGAACCAGCGACTAGCGAATAGACAATTGTACTGCTATATTATGATTCTCTAGTGGCTAGAATTTCCAACATGGAGTCCAGACATGAAGAAGTCTAGCCGTGGTGCATCTTCGTGAAAGGATACACGTTACGGAAAACGGTCTAGTCCCTCGGGTGGGATACAGATGCTGCAAGGAACTTTTCGTTCTGCGGACGAACACTTTGAAGAATGTGGCACTTGTTGCGGCCACCCCAAATAGAGGAATTCGGCCAATAGGAACTCCCAAGCAATTTGTGACGGCTATCATCTGCGCTATCGAACCCTTACGCGACTTTCATTGCAAATCTTGGGTGAATCACCCCTATAGAAAACCTCCTCCTTTTCCACTGTCATCAGTCCATCAGTATTCTTCATGAGATTTGAGATTGTTCAGCTTTTTCACATACCAAGGAGGACCTGTCCTAGAACCGACTCTTTTATTTCACACCTCATCGTCTTATTGTGTATTCCAGCATACTCTTGACTGCTTCTTAATCCTTCTTCACCAGTAATTTCGGTTTCTCAAGCCAGGAGCGATGGGTGAGCGGAAGGTTCTCAACAAGTACTACCCGCCGGACTTCGATCCGTCGAAGATTCCGAAGCGCATCCCGCTGAAAAATGAGCAGATGAAAGTTCGCATGATGCTTCCTATGAGCATCCGATGCAACACCTGCGGGACGTACATGTACAAGGGGACGAAATTCAACTGCCGGAAGGAGGACGTTGTCGGAGACACTTACCTCGGTCTCATGAAATTCCGCTTCTATTTCAAGTGTACTAAGTGTTCCGCTGAGATGGTCATGAAGACGGATCCGAAGAATAGCGACTACGAGATGGAATCCGGAGCGTCCAGAAATTTCGAGCCATGGCGAGCGTCGGACGAGCAGAAGGCGACCGCGAAGCGGCAGCGCGAGGAGGAAGAAATGGGCGACGCCATGCGCGCTCTCGAGAATCGAACCCTCGACTCCAAGATGGAAATGGACATTCTCGCGGCCTTGGACGAAATGAAATCGATGCGTGCGCGACAAGCAACCCTAGATCCAGCAGCGGTTCTGGAGGTGCTTCAGAGATCGGCCGGCGGAGCTGGTGGGAGCGGAGGAGGAGTGTTAGCGGATCCGAAACAACTAACGGAAGAAGACGAGGAGCTGATTAAAAAGATAGTATTCAGAAAATCAGAGAAGTTTGTAAAGAGGATAGACAGTGACGAGGAGGATGAGGGGGAAGAAGGTGAGGGAGCTGAAGCCAGCAACAAGGATCAGCAAGGAGGGGTTAAAAGGGCTCGTATTGTCGCCAATGGAGGCGAAGGCGGTGGTGATGTTCCGGGTGATAATGGTAAAGTCATGAGCTCGAGAGAACCATCGGCTGTTGCGGGAGGGGTTAAGGCAGCATCAGCAATTCAAGATGAAGCAGCGGCAGCAGGAGGCACAGGAGCAGCAGGGGAAGCAGCAGTAGCAGCAAGTTCAGCCTTTGAAAATCGACGGAGCAGATTTGTCCATGAGGACCCTCGGCCGGCCTTTGAAGCCAAGCCTGTGAAGGTAGCGTTTATGGTGAAGGCAAAGAGCAAGGTGCCAGACAAGGCAACAGTGCCAATCAAAGATGCAGGGAAAGTGCCATTGGCGAGCAGGGATTCTAGAAGAAATTCAGGAGCTGAAATTGCTGGAGGCAATGCTGATGGTTCAGGGGGTTCCAGTGCTGGTGGCTTGCAGCGAGATGACGAGGAGAAGGGGAAAGCTGCGTTAACCAACTTGTTTTCAACCTATGGTTCTGATGATGATGACGAGGATGAGTAAGAAGGGTCAAAAGGTGGAAAAAAATGTTGGGGTGTTGCAAGGAAGGGGAGAGGTGGGGGCCTGGGGGGGTCCTCTCCAGGGCTCTCGTTATCAGACTAATTTAGTCTGTTGGTCTAGATTTCAGGCCCGCATGCAAAATAGTGACCCCCCCCTTCTAGTTGGGTCCACTAGAAAGCTCATGAAAATTTCCAGAAAGTTTGGTGTTTTTTTCTGAACAGGGCAAGTCCCCAAGTAGTAACAAGACCGATTTGAAGTTGTTTCCGAATTCTGATACGATCAGTCGCAACTTGCACAGAATTGTCGCAAGCTTGCTATGACATTTCCACTTCTCCCACCCATCCAAATCCGCATCGAGCACAACACATCACAAATTTCACAACGGAACCTGCCACCACACACGCAGCATACACACAATGTTGAGCTAAGTAACAACACAGAGTGATGCAAGTAGCAAACAGAAGAACGACAAGGTGACTCGAGAGGAGAGGGGCCGACGGGAATTAGAACGGTAAGGGAGGGGGTATAGCGAGGGCGATTTACCGTACAATGGGGGAGATCGCGGGCGACGGAAAATGGAGTAGATCGCGTAGGCGACTGCAAATAGGGGATCGCTATGGGATCGCGTGGGAGATAGCGAGCGCGACGGGGAGAGGGGGGAGAAACAGCGAGCGCGACGGAGTGAAGGGGGGAGATAGCGACGGCGCGGAACGTGATGGGAGATAGCGACGGCGCGAGACGTGCTTGCTAGCTTAAATTATGTCGCGAGACGTGATCGGAGGGGAGGCCATGAGCGCGAAGGCGATGCGAAGACAGGTGCACGTGAGCGCGATGGTGACGGGAGGGCGGAACGTGAGCGCGATGCCGATGGGAGGGGAGGACGTGAGCGATAGGAGATGAAGTGGGGAAGGAGAAAGGCGACGGGAGGGAGAGCGATAAGGCGATGGGAGGGAGAGCGGACAGGCGACGGGAGAGAGAGCGCGAAGGCGAAGGTAGGGAGGGCGGACAGGCAACGGGAGGGAGAGCGCGAAGCAGACGGGAGGGAGGGCGCCGACGGGAGGGAGAGCGCGAAGGCGAGGGGAGGGGGAGCGGACAGGCGACGGGAGAGAGAGCGCGAAGGCGAAGGGAGGGAGGGCGGACAGGCAACGGGAGGGAGAGCGCGAAGGAGACGGGAGGGAGGGCGGACAGGCAACGGGAGGGAGAGCGCGAAGGAGACGGGAGGGAGGGCGCGAAGCCGACGGGAGGGAGAGCACGAAGGCGACGGGAGAGAGAGCACGAAGGCGAGGGGAGGAGGAGCGGACAGGCGACGGGAGAGAGAGCGCGAAGGTGAAGGGAGGGATGGGGGTTCAGGCAACGGGAGGGAGAGCGCGAAGGAGACGGGAGGGAGGGCGGACAGGCAACGGGAGGGAGAGCGCGAAAGAGACGGGAGGGAGGGCGCGAAGCCGACGGGAGGGAGAGCACGAAGGCGACGGGAGAGAGAGCACGAAGGCGAGGGCGGGGGGAGCGGACAGGCGACGGGAGAGAGAGCGGACAGGCGACGGGAGGGGGAAGGGATATCGCGAGGGAAAAGGGGGACATCGAAGGCAACGTGAGGGAAGGGAGATAGTGAGGGCGACGGGAAGGAAGAGGGGACATCGAAGGCGAGGGGCGGGAGAACGGGAAGGCGACGAGATCGGAGGGAAATCGCGAGGGCGAGAGGACAAGAGGGGTGAACGGGAGAATAACAGACCGGGAGGGGAGACCGTGACGACGACGGGAGGGCCGTTACGCGTGTGTTTGCGAGGGCGACGGAAAGGCGACGGGACGGACTAGAGAGCGAGGCGACGGGCAAATTGATTGAGACAGGAAACTGGCACTGCGCTACGAGGCCATGTAAACCTACATTTCACACTCTTGCTATGTCGACGATTGACGCACTCGTCGGTAATTACGTGGCTATGACACGAACGCCTGTGCTTTCAGCTATACTACTTACTATGCTATGCGGAAACTAGTGATGAATGGAGTGACAGAAATCTAGTAATGCACCCATCACCAGCTTGAAAATGAGGTTGGGCCTGCGATGGGAAACCATCGCCTGGGGTTTGTCGTGCGGATGCGGCACGCAAAAATGCGACGGCTGATATGAGAAAGAAAGTTCATTTTGGCGGGAACCATTACGTTCCATTGTGGCGAGAGCCAATAACATGAGTTCACTCTGCCCATACAAATCGTTTGAAACAGTGTTTTTGATACTGGTTTCATCCTCACTTGCAACTCCTCATTCAAGTTGGGACGGGGGTCACTATTTTGCATGCGGGCTTTCAGTCGCATTTTTTGTTGTTCATATGTTCTCGCAGACAAAAAAATGCGGTGTCGGAAAATATAATTTAATATTTTCTATATGTAACTGCCTGTAGGATTGATTACTGTAGTTATAGCGTTTTCCTATTTGGTGGTGCACCTTTCTTGCTTGTTGTCTCATATTTGTACCCTTGAACCTATAGTGAAACCCCTCATTCCTCTCGACATTTGTCATGGTATCAGAGCGATCACGGTCCTGGCCTGTGGACCCGCCCTATTGCTTCCGCTGCTACTCTGTGTTCTGCACGCCCCGTGGCGTGCCCCCTTAATTTTCTCTTAGCGGCCCCGTCGCCGCCCTTTCAAAGGCCCCTCGCGGCCCCTTCGCGGCCCCGTCGCCGCCCTTCCGCGGCCCCGTCGCCGCCCTTTCAGCGCCCCCATCGCCGCCCTTTCAGCGGCCCCGTCGTCGCCCGCCCTTCAGCAGGCCCCGTCGCCCGCCCTTTCAGCGGCCCCGTCGCCCGCCTTTCAGCAGGCCCCGTCGCCCGCCCTTTCAGCGGGCCCCGTCGCCGCCCTACCAGCAGCCCTTCGCCCGCCCTTTCAGTGGCCCCACCGCCGCCCTTCCTGCGGCCCTACGGCCCCGTCGCCAACCTGCGGCCCCGCCACCTGAGGCCCCGATGCCACCTACGGCCCCGCCCACTTGCGGCCCCGACCCCGCCCCGGCCATGCCCCGTCGCCAGCCGCGGCACACCGGGGGCACGTGCACCGCCCCCCCCCCTTTTCCCGTAACCCGTCGCGGCTCCTTCGGGGGCCGCACGCGGCCCCCTCAGGTCACCTCGACAGGTGCCGGGAGGGGCGACCTGGAAGGGGGGGGCAGGCGTCGCCCCCTCTGCCGCCTGCTTTGGCACCCGGGGAGGCCGTGCGTCGGCCCCCCCCCCCCCCCCCCCCCCCTCTCCTCCTCCTTTTTTTTCCCGCTGCTACAGCTGCCGCTGGGGGGGAGGGTGTGAGGGTGTGGGGGAGCCCGGGGAGTGGCACTGGGGTGGCGGGTGTGAGACCACCCAGCACCCGTCCCTCCACCTCTCCTCTCTTCCCCCCGCTGCTCCTGCAGCAGTGTGTGGGGGAGGGGGAAAGGGAGGGGGAGGGGGAGGGTGAGAGGGTGTGAGGGTGTGGGGGAGCCAGGGGAGTGGTATTATTGAAACACTTTTCTCCTCCTGCGCAATCGTGATGTACCCCTTCGGAGGGCGCTAACTGCATACTCATCTCCTACAGCCAGTTATGGGGGCGTGTCGGAAAATATAATTTAATATTTTCTATATGTAACTGCCTGTAGGATTGATTGCTGTAGTTATAGCGTTTTCCTATTTGGTGGTGCACCTTTCTTGCTTGTTGTCTCATATTTGTACCCTTGAACCTATAGTGAAACCCCTCATTCCTCTCGACATTTTTCCTAAACTCGAACTCAACTTCCTACCTCACTAGCTATGGCTCCTAAGTCTAGCTAAGAACTTTGTCATGCGGCTCATATGAGAGCCAATATAAGTTGTATATACTCATATGTTTTTTCAGAACACAGGTTATATTTCGTATGAGTTTCCAGACAGCGAGGATACATCTGTTTGATAACCTAAGGGAAAATAAAGATGATCGAGAGAATCCCCTCGCAAGAACCGATCCCCCACCCGCCGGAATCCGTGTTCAAATCACCAACTCCGCCATCCACACAAATTTATTTGCACTTTAAAAGTTATCGTATGTTTTCACAGACGGCCTTAAATATTTCATCTGAAAATCAGATCACCCAGAATCCCTCATATGATGGTCAGACTAAAAAAAAAAAATTTATCATCAGACGGCCCAAATAGTTAGCAAGAGCCCTGGTCCTCTCATAAGGTCCAGCCCATTGAATGACAGGTTATTGCATATGTTCGTACATGTGCCAGTAGTCACAAGTATTGTATGTCCTCTCATTCAGTTGCGTTACAGGCATTCAGAAGAGCTCCAGTGTGGAAACAACAAATACACAAAGAATCCATAAACTCACATCACAAATCTCCTCTGCACCCATCCAATTCAGCAAGCCTAGCAATACCATACTCGACTGCCATTGCGAGTGTGGCAGAAGCAAAGAGGGCCATGAACCATGACAGCTTGGTAGTGAAACAGACTAGCACTGCAAGACCTGTGTAAGCACATCGAGGCAACTACTCTCTGCTCCACGTATACTACTACGGGTACTACCGGAACTCCGTTGTTCTGAAGAAAGCTGCAAGTACTCACTCTCTGCACCAGCTGTATTAGCGCGCGCGCACACATTGTAACACCACAGTATGTCAACAACGCACTGTATCACTGCACAGTTAATGCACTATATTACTCAATTGCAGCACTGGACTGTATCGCCCCACTGAATGAGTGTGCGCTGTGAATGCAAGCGCTATCCGAACGCTTAGCGCAGGGCCTGAGTGTTGGCATTGCGCTTCGGAGGCAGCTTGCGGAGAATGTAGAGCACCAGGGCTGCTGGGATGAGCTCCACGCACTGGGAAGTGGGGGAGGGGGAAGAGCGGGAGGGATGGGAGAGAGAGATGTTATCAGGTGGAAGACGACGCATCGAAAGGCAGCTTGCGCAGAATGTAGAGCAGCAGCGCTGCTGGGATGAGCTCCACACACTGGGAAGTGGAAAAAGGAAAGGGGAACAGGGAGAAGAGGGGAGTGATGTGGGCAAAACGTCAGGTGGAATCGAAGCAGTTTGCGCAGAATGTAGAGCAGCAGCGCTTCTGGGATGAGCTTCACACACTGGGAAGGTGGGGAGGGAGGGGAGAGAGAGAAATTATCAGGTGGAAAAAGACGCATCTAGAGGCAGCTTGCAGAGAATGTAGAGCAGCAGCGCTGCTGGGATGAGCCCCACACACTAGGAAGTGGACGGGGAAGATGGGGGGGAAGGATGGAAAACGATTGGGGGAAAGGATGGGGGGAAAGGAAGGGGGGAAATGATGGGGGGAAAGGAAGGGGGGAAATGATGGGGGGAAAGGATGAGAAACGATGCGGGGAAAGGATGGGGGAACACGATGGGGGAAGCGATGGCGAAAGGATGGTTTGAAAGGATGGGGGGAAAGGATGTGGGGAATGAAGAGGGAAAAAGGTGGGGAGTCTGGAAGATGTGAGTTGAGTATGACGAAAGGAAGGAGATGAAATGCACATACTGTGAACGGGAAGGGAGGGATGAAGGGCGAGCGGGGAAAGAGGGAGCAGAAGGGTGCAGGTGCATGTGGGCACAGGTGCATGCATGTGGCTACAGGTGCATGCATGTGGGCACAGGTGCATGCATGTGGGCACAGGTGCATGCATGTGGGCACAGGGGGGGCCTTACAGCATAGTAGGCGACGTTGACCCAGGGGTCTGCCACCACGTCCAGCCATGCCGTGCTCACAATGGCTGAATAGGCGATCTGCGTCAACACACAGAATTGCAGACGAGGGCAGGGAAGAGGGTGGGGAAGGGAAAAGAGGGAACATTGGAGGAGTAGACCAGGGGTCTGCCACCACGTCCAGTCCAGCCATGCTGTGCTCACAACGGCTGAATAAGCGATCTGAATTGACACAGAAAGGAAGGAGGGAGTGGAAGCAGGGGGAGGGAAGGGGCAGGGAGGGGGACATAGAGGGGGGGATGTTGTAACAACAGGCGATGTGGCCCTCCCAGGGGTCTGCCACCACGTCCAGAGTCAATTTTTGAGTCAACTTTAAAACCCACCCAGGGGTCCCCCACCACGTCCAGAGTCGATTTTTGAGTCGACTCAAAAACCCACCCAGGGTTCCCCCACCACGTCCAGCCAAGCTGTGCTCACAACCGCTGAGTAGGCGATCTGTGCAGCGGGGGGGAGAGGGCGGGGAAGAAGGGAGGGGAAGAAGGGAAGGGAAGTAAGGAGGGAAGAGGGCGGGGTACAAGGGAGGGCAGATGGAGGGAAGGGGTAATCAAGAGGTATGTTGTGATAGGTAGGCGACATTGACCCTAGGGTCCTCCCCCACCACGTCCAGTCATGCCGTGCTCACAATTACGTTGTTGGTACTTCTGAGAATTCTCAAAAATACCATCAACATGCCGTGCTCACAACAGCCGAATAGGCGATCTGCGTGGATGAAAAAGGTTAAAGAGGGCAGGGGATCAGGACAGGGTGAAAGCCTGAATACCGAGCGACGTTGACCCACCACGTCCAGTCCAGCCATGCCGTGCTCATAACCGCTGAATAAGAAATCTGCGAGGACAAAACGAGGGAAAGAAGAGTGGGGAAGCAGGGGGAGGGAAGGAGTCAGGGGAGGGGGAAATGGGAGAGGATGTTGTAGATGTGATACTACAGGCGATGTGGTCCACCCACTGCTGCTGCGATACCTTTTGAGGCGCCTCAAAAGTCGTCTCAAGGTTTGCTGCTACTCCCGACATGAATTTGGATGTTGTAGATGTGATGCTACAGGCGATGTGGTCCACCCACTGCTGCTGTGAAGCCCCCATCATCATTACCCTATAACGTCCCCATGATGACCCCATGCTGTCCCCATGCTGCCCTCATGCTGCCCCATACTGCCCCTATGCTGTCCCCATGATGCATGATGCCTGATGAACCAATGATGTTCCTGTGATACCCCCATGATGCACCCATAATGCCTCCATGATGCATGGTGCAAAGCTGAAATGCACCCACAACGGCTCAACTCGACTGCAGCAGCAGCACTCACCACGGCAGCTCGGACGATGAAGCAGGAGAAGCAGATGAGAGTCACGAAGCCAACCTGCAGGCGAACGCAGGCGAACACAGGCGAACATAGTTCCATACGGGGTTACATACGTAACACAGGGAAGCACAGAGCGGCACAGGCGAACACAGACACAAGAACGGGCTGTGAATGCGAGGGGAGAGACGATAAACCCACTGAAGAATTTCAAGCAAGCAAGCAAGCAAGCCCTACAGCGTGACAGAGCCAGAGATGAGGTGATCCCAACCCAGAACCTCATGCAACAAGAAACCACCCACCTCGTGAAGCTTCTTTCTGCGACCCCGCGACTCAATGGGGAACTGCCGCAGCATGAGGAAGAGCCTGATAGGAGCGAGTGGAAGGGGAGAGGGGGGAAACCGGAAAGGGGGGAAGGGGGCAAGAGAACGACTCAATGGGGAACTGCTGCAGCATGAGGAAGAGCCTAATAGGAGGAGAAAAGAGGGGGAGGGGAAACGAGGGGGAAGGGAGAGGAGGGAATTAGGGAGGTGGGGGAGGGGGCAGGGGAGGGACTCAATGGGGAACTGATGGTGAGAGGGGAAGCGGGGGTGTGAGGGGAGTATAGGATGGGGGAGGAATGAGGGAGCAACGGATTGAGCGAGAGTGGTTGGGAAGAGGCATGCGGACGAGAGAGGAAGGCGGGTGGGCGATGAGGGGGGGTGTGGCGAGGTGCAATGCTGCGAAGGTGAGACACTGCGATCCGGAAAGGAGGGAATGTTTCAGAGCCGTCTCCAATGAGCCGCGAATCAAAGTGCTCTGAAACAGAGCAACTTTGATTCGTGAGCTACGAATCGAAGTGCACAGCGGAAGTGACAATACCAGCCACAGACAGAGGGAAAGGATGGCAGGAAAGAGATGGGAAGGAGGGAGGGGGGGAGGTTGGGGGGGAGAGAGGGGGAGGATAACAAGGCTCAGCTCGCTGCTCCCTCTCACATCTCGCACAGACGTACCTTCCGCCATAGAGCAGAAAGCCTGCCGCGGCTGCTAGCGAGACAGCTGCAAAGAGAGGAGGGAGTGCCGGGCCGGGTTGGAAGAGGGAGATAAGAAAGATTATGAGTCGGTAGAAATGAAGTGAGCTGGAAGAGAGAGACACAGCGGGTGGAAACGGGTCCGAGAAGGGGGTGGGAGATTGGGGGATGGGGAGGCTTGGGGAAAGGGTTGTGGTGAAGTGGGCGCAGGGGTCTAGAGAAGGGAAAGAGTAACAAAAGAATGAAACGTGTGAGATTGATAAGCGGAAAAAGAGTCAGCATCCAGTTGATGATTGTAGTAAGGCACCTTGAAACGAGGAAACAGGGGAGAATGTGTGTTTAACTGACCCGTAAAGAAGAGCTTGGCGATGAGGTCGATTGTGAGCATGTCCTTGTGATCGAACCACATAACGCCCCAGATGGCCGCCTGTAGAGGAGACACGGGAGCGGAGAAGAGGACAGAGGTGTGAGACGAGGGCACAAAGGCCAACATGGAACACAAGCAGAGGTTGAGGTTTGACTGTAAGCATGTCCTAGCAGTCAAACCACATGCCATGGCACCCCCCAGATGGCCGCCCAGAATGTAGGGAAGGGGAAACAAAGGTCGGCGAAGACACATGAGGACAGAACGGGGAGGCAGGAGCTCTACATACTGTATTTACGACCGCAGAACATGAGGTCACATCGATGCACCCATTTGAACCGCACCAAACTCCCCAAAAGCCTCACCTGCAGCACGTAGACGCCGACGTTGGCCGCCATGAAGTATGGCCGCAGGTTGTCCGTAGGCAGGCCGCGCGCCTGAAAGGTGAGAGGGGGGGAGAGGGGGAGGGAGGGAGGGAGTGCAAGAGAAACATTTGAGTCGACTGCAATGTTGACATGAAGTATGGCCGCAGTTGTCCGTCGGCAGGCCGCGCGCCTGAAACAGGGGATGCAAGAACGAGGAGGGAGGGAGAGGGACGGGGGGGGAGGGGGGAGGGGGGGAGCGGGGAGTGAGAGCGGGGAGGGAATTTGAGGTGTCTGAGTTGCGCCACCATGAAATACGGCCGCAGGTTGTCTGTGGGCAGGCCGCGCGCCTGAAAGGTGGGGGAGCGGAGGGAGATAAACAGTTGACGCAATGGCGGGCGACGGCTGCGGCATACAAGGCAACAAAGTATGGGACACGGATCAGGTGCGGAATTTTTACAAGGCAGGACATGTGCTTGAAGGGGGCATGAACAAACATGAATCATGGCATAGGCTGGCGGAAAGAAAGGAAAGAAAGAAGGTGGTTCACCTGGTGGTAGATCTCAGCCCAGAAGAGCACGAGGAGGGTATAGGTGGTGAAGAAGAGAAGACCGGGGAGGTCCAGAAGCACGTGCGCGAATACCTGGCACCAGAAGAAAACAGGAAGAGGGAATTAGGGTTGGGTGGGTGGGGAAGAAGGGGTGAGAGGTAGGAAACGAAGAGGTAGGACATACGGCCAAGAGGGAAACGAACGGCAAAGCCGAACGGATACGAGGTGTGCATGTGGGCGAGCCGGACACAAAATCATGGATTCAAACTCACATGGGCTAATAAAACAGGGACTCCCGACTCACACAATTGGGACTCGTGACTCCCATGGCTGTGGAGCTTTCGTAAGTCCTCCACCGCGTCTCAAAAGGGTAACACCACGGCAAGCACGGAAATCATACGTACGTACTGACATGGCCGCAACACGTTTCAGCGACTCACATGGTTGGGACCCGCGCTAAGGACTTCCACCTCCTCGCGGAAGAGAAACACCACGGCTCGCACTGCGGAGGGAAAGCGAGAATCGGGAAACAGTGAAAAAATGGTACGACACGGTATTACGTCGACGAGAGAATCAGAGCGAGCAAAGAGTGCAGGAGTAAGAGCTATACCGCAAGTGAGTTATAGAGCGAGTGAGCTATAACGCGTGTGCGCTATCCCAGTAGAAGGCCTTAAAGGAGGTCCAGCCGTCTAGGCGTGAAGTGAACATCGATAGAGGACAGGCATTACGAGGAAATAGGCGGACAGCTATACAGCGACGACGCCAACGGTAACAGCGATGGCGACGATAACGACGACGATGGTGACGATAACGACGACGAGGGCGCCGTACAGGCATTGACGACCAAGTTGAGGAGGTGGAAGACCTTCTGCGTGGTCCAGCCGTAGAGGCGTTGAGTGAACATCCATACACGCATTACCATGTGGTAACCACATAACGATAACGACGACGGCGACAACGACATCGACGTACAAGCATTGACGACAAAGTTGAGGAGGTGGAAGACCTTCTGCGTGGTCCAGCCGTACTCCGGCACTCTGCGCTGAATGCGAATGAGCTGGATCTGAAACCGAGAGAAAGGACGCACATAAGCAATGATAGGGAGAACGCAAATGGGTACGGATGAAAACAAGGCAACTTCAGGAAGAAAGACGATAAGAAATAAATAAGCATCAAATGTCAGCGAGCTGGTGGGAGTGAGGCTGTATGTTTCACGAGTCCCCATGATTCAGCGAGATTGGCATTTTCGAGAGCAGGCGATAGCCGTTGATGTAGACTGGTATCAAACCGATGATAACCGCCGATGTAGGGTGAAAAAGGGTGATAACAAAGGACGACATGATAATTAGAAGCGACCGACGTGGGAGCTTAACTACTTGAAGTTCCGAAGCTGAAGATCCAATCTTCTCAGGCACTGAACTGTGAGAAATAAGAGACGACCACACTTTCCCTGAACCTCTCAGCAACATTCGGAATTTGTTCAACCGCAATGTTCCTTTTCTTCTAAAGAGGTACAACCATTTACATAGAAATGCGTTTCAGAAAATAAGACGATGGAGAATGATTTACCAGAGCCACCATGCCGACGAAGGCGTACGCTCCAGCTAACGCCTCGTAAGCTTCATCTCGGACTGTGCGGTCCTTCCCCTCCCCTTTCTCCAGCCATGACGAGATGAGCAAGTGCACATCCGGCAGCTTCCCTGAACCAAACATTGTATCTCCGCGACCAAATGCTAATAAAAACCTACCAACACCACAGGTTTGAAAAGCCGAACCAAGGCGATGTTAGATGGATTTCCCCTAACAATTGAAGGACTACAAGCTCAGTTGTAAAGGCTACCGTCAGAGACAGCTAGCGAACCTAAAGGGTATGGCGCACACAAACACGTTGGGTAAGTTAGGGTTGCGGGGAACCAACTCTTTCACACCACTGGCTTTTCATTCAACCAAGTTTAGCTTTCAAGACCTCAGGGTGGTGTGACCGCAGTTGCCTAGGGGTTGGGAACGGGATGAGACTTGGCATGGGATGCGGTAACACAAGTCCAGCCCAGCATGTATGGAGAGTGTACGCTGCACTCTACAGCCTGGTTTGTTGCTTGCTTGCGAAGGTTGGAAAGCTGTGGTCAGCAGAGGCTCCGCCAGCTCCTTTTTTCGCAACCGACAGTCGCACCAGCTAACACCCCTTTGGGACCTGCTGCAGGTGCTATTTTCGGGTTACCCGGTTCCTGGACTTCGATGCTGCCTTCCAAGCAGGATCTGCACGAGCCAATCAGTAGGCGGGTTGCTGACGTCAACTGAGACGGTGCGGTTAGGATTCCAGAACATTGGGTTTGAACAGCGTGTAACACCCAAAAATCAAAACTGGACTGGATCACTTAGAACTAGTACGGTATTAGGGGCTGTTATCATTCCTAATCTTGTGAACAAGACGGAAATCCTGCACATCGGGTAAAGGCCATCCAGATAGACGAATAAGAAATACTTGTCAGGAAAAAACTTCATGGTACAAGCTTGAGCCCCTAAGATGCACACTACAAAGTTGAGCCCCTAGAGAGTAACAAAAACCCTAAGCGAGCGATCTCTGATTGAGACCGCTGAAGAAATCAGCTGCGGAAGTGTTCCCTTCTCGAAGCTGATGACCACTCCCACCCACGACCTCTCCACACTCAGGACAGCGAGACTCCTGCATTGCACCACCACATTCCCCTATGGCATACACATGCCCATTGCGGCACCGGTACCAATGGCCTCCCCCAAAGCCCATTGCCCTGTACACCTCGTCCTTTTCCCGCTCTGTCACGACAAAGTACCGGGGTTCGTCCAGAACAGATGTTTCAAGAGCAGGTAGCTCGTCCTCTAACATTCTTCTGGCTCTCTCCCCAAGGGCATCATTCCTGACAGAGACTATGTCATGATAGGCCACCATGCGACATTGGACCTTAGCCTTCTCAAGATACTCCAGCTGTTGTGCCTTTGATCCATTCTGCAAGATACAAATGCATCATGTTAACAAATCCGTCATATCTATACCCATATGTTTCGGGGGGAAAGGTGTAAATGCGTGTAAGACATGATAGTGAGATAGTTTCTCTCACCTGATCAACAATGGAGCTCCACAGCAGGCGCTCTGCCATCATCCCTTCCACAAATGCACGGTACAAGGCAACAAGCTCCAACCGCGCCCTTGCCTCCAGCCGGTGTGCCTTGCGCTTGCCAGCCCAATCCACCGCCCCCACAAGACACTCACGTGCATTGTTCAGGCACGCGTGCACAGTTATTCTACAACCACGAACATACTGGTAAAAATGCTCTGTAGTGCGAGCACTTTTATGCCCAGTTGCATTACGAAGATTCCTCAGATGGTCCCGCAACTGGAGGAGGTTTAGGGTCATGAGAAGCTCGTGGCACTTTGCCAGAATGATGAGTGATTCGCAAGGCGGGCGCGCGTCTGGCTGGGTAACGTAGAGCAGACGGCATTCCTCCTCCAACGACGCTGCAGGACTAAAAGCACCAGCACCACTCGCCCCGCCTCTCCCACCACTCCATGTCGGACCCCCCAGCAGCGCATGCTTCCTCTGCAGAGCTGCAATGGACGCCTGATAAGTCTTCCATGTGGGCGGATTCATGGAAGCAGCACGCAGGCGCTCTGCTTCACGCATAAAACCCGTCACAGACTGTCCCAACTCGTCAAGGTGATTGGGTGAAGCATCCCCAGGGCACCTAGCCACAGCTCGGCTAAGCCGCGAGAGTCTCCTTTGGGCCGACTCTTGGTCAGCGGAACACTCGACGACAAACTTGCGCTCTGATTGGTCCAAGAGAGCCTTGTTGACCATTCTGCCGTAGCGTCGGAGCCCTGTGATTGGCTGCCGACAATCAGGGCAACCCTTGAGAGCTGAGAGATTGCCATTCTCAAACGGCAGCACTGCCAACCACTTGGCTGTAGTTCCGCCTCCAACAGCAGGAGCAGCACCACTATCCCCACCTGCAGCAGCACCAGTCCCACTGGACCTGTTTCCAGCAGAAGCACCTCCATCATCCCCACCGGTCGCAGCCCCAGCAGCACCGTAACCAACTGTTCCCCCACTGCTCGAGCCACCATCAGCGCCACCCAGAGGTTTCGACTGCAGATACACCTCATCCAGCCCAAGATGGCCATCGAGGGTCTCTACAGTATAAGCATGGCCGCATGCCAGCACAAGAATGGGATTCTCGTCTGGATTCACCTCCCCTAGCGTCTCCAGAGTTACCAAATCCACCATATACTCCCTTTTGGTCTTGGACCCGCATTTGGGAGCAGTGCAATATTCGGTAGAGGGGCACTTTTCCCCGCACAAGGAGGGGCATTGGTGGCCGCATCTGAGCTTTTTCTCACAGCGTTTGTCGCAAGGGAGGCGATCACAGGGGGCACCACAGGGGAGAGAGCAAGGACCCTGGTGCTTGCAGAACCAGCCGCAAGGCTCAGCGCATGGGGCACAGGTTCGGTGGCAGGACTGGGAGCAGGAGCTGTGTTGGCAAGACACGAGGCACTTTTTACGGCATGGTTTGCAGTCCTTGCCATCGTGACAGATCTCAGAGCATAGGTGCCCGCATGGGTGGGGTCTCTTGCACAGAAGGATGCACACCTTGTGCTTCTTTAAAACACTTGGTGCCGATACTTCCGTGGCCGTTCCTTCCTGTTGCTGATGCTGCTGCTGCTCCTGGCCAGAGGCCTGCTGTTCCTGTCCCTGCTGCTCCTGCTTGGCTTTGTTATCTGGGGCAATGATGCAGTCACCGCAGCGATAGTTGCACTCATGCCCGCAGGAATCCGAGAGAACCACACCGCAACGAGCCGTGCAGAGCTTGGGGTTGCTCTGTCTGGTAGCAGCCTCACTGCACTTGACTGTCTGCTTGTGGCCGCAAAGAGGCATGGTGACTTCCACTGATGACCTGCGATTGGATAAGGTGCACGTGCATGCATGCATGGGCGAGAACGTGTCGAGAGGGTGGCACACATGAGAGAGAAGTCTGAGGAGATGTGACACCTGATCCTATGAACAAAACAAGGTGCGGCAAGCAATGAAGTTGTGCATACAAACACCGAAGGCCCCCATTGGATATGCATGGCTCATGCAAAATCAACATTCATACGCACAGTGGTGTCCAGCTACGAGTCCATGTAGAACAGCAAAGATATGATGACAATGTGCATGCAAGCGCCACACCTGTCACACTGCTCTTACGTGACAAGAGCAGAAGGGAGGAAGAAAACTCACGAGCAAGGAATCAAAGCTGGTCGCTGTGCCTGGAAGCACGGAACGTTGACTGCCTTATGCCCACAAGGTAGTGTAATTGATTTGACCACTGCCTTGCATTCGCCGCAATCCTCCCCGCATTGCTTAGGGCACGGGTGCTGGTATGGGCACTGGTCCAGAGGCCGTATGCGGTTACATTCCTTGGGGCAGAATGTCTTGGCGTGTGCTCTGTCGTCCCCATGGCACCTGTTGCAAACAAACAACACACAAGTTGTTAAAGTTGCTTTAGCTCCAATCCAAAAGGGGTGCAATGCAAGCACTACCAATAGAACACTGGTAGTGGACATGAGCTTTGACTATATAGCATCTGTCGCTAGCAAAATCACATGCATGGGAGACAATTAACATAACAGCATCAGATGGAAACAGTGGAACATAGAGTGAGCATTGGAACAGAACCTGTGATTCTGACCTGCGAGGACAGGTGTGTCCACAAGGCACGAGTCTGAAGCCGCACATCTGAGAACATCCGCCCTCACTCGCCTTCTCCTTGAAGTCGCTCGCATTCTCAATGTGCGTGATGGTGTCAGGGTGGTTTACACACTGCAGCGGAATGAACTTCTGAATGCGGTCATTGCTCTTGAGGATGTTCAGAACCTTCGGCCAAAGCACAGACTTGGGGTCAGCTTTCATCGTGCTGGCATTTCCTGTTGCAAGAGTGGAAATTTGGGCGAAGAAATGGGGGAGTGAACAAAAGAATCAGCATGAAAACTTCTTACATGAGCACTTTCGCGTGCAGGAACGCAGCAGGAGTATTAATGAACACCACCCACACCCGTCATGTATCTGTTATTACATATTCCAGCATCCACCGATAGGGCCATCCACTCACCAACAATGTACATTCCGTGAACTCACCGATGGTGCAGGTCAGACGTAACACCCACCAGCACCCAGCATGTTAGTGCTCATTCAAGATCCAGTGTCCATGGAAAGGCCTGGGACTCACCAACAATGTACATGCCATGCTTGGCACGGGAGAGCAGCACGTTGGTGCGGTTGGGGCTCTTGAGGAACCCGATCTTGCCGTCACCGTTGTTCCGTACGAGGGAGATGATGATCACTGTGCTCTCCTCGCCCTGGAAACTACACATGAGCAGAACCAATGTACAGCAGAAACTAATATCAACTATTCTTCAACAGGCTCCAATCGCTAATTCATTCGTCCATGCATGAAGTAGAGATAAGCTTTATTTATATAAAAAAGGACTTACTTGTCAACCGTAGCCAACCGCACTTCATCCTTCAAATCCGCTGTGGACGGCACGAGATGGCTCTCTCCCGGTCCCGGCCCCTTGCTCTGCGACCATGAGCCATGTGACGAATCACCCTTGCTCCTGCCATCACGTTCTCTGGATCCACCGCCCCTAGCTGCAGCCTTCTCCTCCGCCTCCTCCACCACCTCAGCATCACTCTCCCCCAGCTTCACATTGACCACACGGGAGAGCGCCTGGCGTAGCTTCAGCAGCTGGCCAACATACGGGGTGAGGATGGTGATCTCCCCTCCCGCGTACCCCTGCTGCAGCAGGTACGTCGCCAGACCCACCACCAAGTCCATCTCTCCCTCGTTTGTCTTGGACTTTGACTCATTTAGGTAATCACCGCCCTTCTCCGGGCTGTCATGGTCCCAAAAGTGCAGATTTGTTGCCATGCCTCGAACGTCGGGGTAGCTCTGAACAGATGGGTGGTCTGTGAGCTGGGGGTAGATGGTGCTGCGGATAAGGTTGGCGATTTCCGGACGCATGCGGCGCTGCGTGGCGAGGGTGTAAATGGGGATTTGCTTGGAGAGGGCGAGGCGTTCGAAGAGTGAAACGTCCAGGTCAAAGCCCTTTTGGGAGTCCTTGCTCAGCTCGTACACCTCCACCTTGGGCCGCAGCTGCAGGTGGTCGCCTGCCAATCAAAATTGAGGTGGGGGACAAGAATGGAGGTGGGGAAGGTTTCAGTGTTTTTGCCACAGCCATACTGGAGCATCATCACCTTGCACACCCAATGTAGCCATGCCTATGACACGACCAATACAAGCTCAAATACGAGCAGCCCAAAAACCAAAGTGAGTGAATATCAGACAAGGGAATGCATCCAGGATGTTGTACCAATGAGGATGACGTGTTGAGTCTGCGGGGTAAGCGACGTGAGAATGTGGGCTTCCAGCACCTCAGCAGCCTCCTCCACGACGATGACTCGCGGGCCGAGCGCCGTGATGAGGCGCTGCATCTTGGCCACCCCAGACGTGGTCATGCCCACCACCTGCGCCTTCCTCAGCACCTGCAGGTCCTCTATATCCATGAGCTCCCGACTTTCCGCCACCTTCCTGCATGCTTTGCATTGCACAGTCATACATCATTGACACTGCCAGTTGGTGCCGATCCAGATCACACTAGCCCTCTCAACACACACAAAAAGCTTCTTGAAAGCTATAGGAGCACCTGAGAAAAACAGAGAAAAAAGTCTTACGCACTTCGCATGATTGCGAACCTCTGCTTCGATAGCAGCATTGGCAGTCGCCTTGAGCTCCTCCAACCAATGCCTCAGAAGCTTCAGTCTCTCCCGTAGGCTGGTTGCCCATGGATCTGCCACTTCGAGCAGGTCCTCCAATGCTCGGTCACCGGACGTGTCCATTGCCCGTGCACTCTGCATGGTTGCTGCCTCCTGGCTACTTCTTGCTATCTCAACTACCGGTGCATGCTTCATCATGGCCTCCATGAGTCCTTTGTTTCTACGAACAACTGCTTCCTTCGTCAAGCCCCGCTTCCACTCGTTCCAATAATCGGGTGCCACGTGCTGCCATATCAACAACGGTACATGTCAAAGGAATGAAAAAGGATACGAGATACCACAAATGCATCTGCGACCAAGCATCAATCACCTTGGAATCAACAATGTCGATCTCCACAGGGCTTTGGAGCGCCTCAAAAAACACAGGGTGGTTCGCCATCAAATGGGGAGAGATCAAGCCCCATGACATGGCCTGGAAGTTATCATTTCTGAACCGCAAGGCCTCGCTGTAGGTTGCAATGACTCTTTCAACCTCTCCCATCCTGCTGTGAACCAAAAACTTTGAGTTCCTGTAGCCTGCACATATGCACACAGAGACAACAATTAAAAGACTTCAAATTCGGTGGTGAACATGTTTTACTCTCTTTCTTCTTTTAACGACCTTGAGAATTGTGAAGCTTACTCTGGCTGTGGTGGGGAGAATACCCTTGGATGATGTTGAAGAGGTTGTACTTTTGAAGAGACTCAGACTTGCTTCTACCTCCCACTCGAACCACCTGCAAATCATGCGAATTACCGGCATATGGCAGCCTCAACTCTTTGCGATCCTTTGCAGATTGCATGGCAAGGACTACCTTGCGGAGAATAGATAAAATTAACCAGACAAATCAGCTAGGGTAATGAATTTTACTTTCTAAGCTTACATTCTTTATGCCACTTGCGATCAAGCCCTCCAGGAACTGGTCGAGAGCATGATTGGTGAAGCACACACAGAGAATCGGACCCATGGGATTATCCTTCTGGCCGCCATCCACCGCATCTGCAAAGGCGTTGTTCAGGAGAACTTCCACGAGCTTGATTCCAACAAAAGTCTGCATTAGATTGCCTGGAGAAGGTTAGCAAAAAAGGTACCAACTAGCTCCTGTGCAAGCTTCAGTAGTAATAATGGTGCACTCGATTGGCGTTTTCCAACAATGCCCACCTTGCCGGTTCCTGGTGGCCCTTGGATCAGGGCGAACTCTTGAGTCAAACCAGCTTGGAGAGCCGTGCATTGAGGGTGGTCCAGCGATGTGCAACGCATGAGAAGATCAATCGGAAACTCGTCAGGGTCGGAAATTGGAACGTTTATGATGGAAAACCAGTCGTCTGGAGAAACTTCTTGCTGGGAAGGCGAGGCCTTGGTCTGAACCAGCAAACTCAGGTCATAGCTGCAAGGGACAAGAGGAATATTAGCTGCAATGCCATCTCTTAATTTCTGACCTTCTAGACGCACCATTTTTCTTTTTTCCCCCAGCTCATTATATTACTGTGTTTCCTTCCAATCACTTACTGCATGCTTCCTTCCAATCACTTACTGCATGCTGTCATCGACATATGCTGGAAGCTTGGTCTTAGGGCTGTCAGGTGCATCACAGATGTATTCCGAGAACGGAAAGGATGCTTCACTGATGTTCTGCAATGCCTTCAGAATCGGCTCATAGGCAAAATAACTCCCATGAGCTTCCAGCATGAAAACTCGCTTGTTAGCAGAGCCATCATGGGAGATGAGCTCCAGCAGCTCTGCACTGAACCGATTATTTTGACAAGGCTGGACTCCAATCTGAGGCCTCTGATTGGCTAGCCTTCGCGTGTCTCGGGCTGTGATGGTTGCAAAGACAAGCTTCTGGCGACCTGGAGCTTCCATGTTATCTTGATGGATGTCCTGAATCCACAGGCAAACCAGAGAGCCATTCTGGAGCCTCTTCGTATGCTCCCAGAACTCCATCCTGAAACATCAAACAGGATTTTAGTGTACAGTGGGTCAATCTACTACCATATACGAGCATTACACACACAGGACATGATTCACTCTGGTATTTTCACGTACCTGCTGCAAGCATGGTGACCTTGTGAAATAGGTGGCTCTAAGAAGTCGATAAAAAAATAAACACCGTTCTTCTTATCTGCATTGATTGACAGGACCCGGACATCCTGAAGCATGTACATGTCCATGTCGTCTGAAGAGAACCCCACCATTCCTTTCATGTTTACAGCCAAACCCTTCAACAAGCTTCGGTCTGCCTTCACAAGTCCCGTCATGGCCCCTTCCCTGCTGGCGCTTCTGCTTTCACGAGTGGAGCATTCGCGCTTCAGACTTTCCAACAGAAAGAAGGCCTTATTCCAGAGAGGAGCAACGAGGTCGTGCCTGAGAAGGCGGAACTGGATGTCCACGTGGCGTCCTACAGAGCCAGCAGGGAGGTGATGACGCTCCTCCACATTATTGCGGGGCAGATAAGGAGGGACATCGCAAAGAACTTCTTCCATGGTTGGAGCCACGGAAATCTGCATAGCAAATAAGGATATGTTGGGAGAATATGTCCGTATCAATTTAGAAACAGAAATTGTCATGGAAATGTTTGTCACATGGTAACATCTTACGGCTGATATGTCTGCATGGTCATTATCATGCCTCGGGTGGCCAGCTAAGCTGAGTTCACCCGGACCATCCACAGCTTGCTTGGTCAAAAGCTGATGACCTGCAACAGCGAAGCACAACAATGTCATAAAATTTCACAAGACACAAAATGAAGTCGAATTTCCTATTTCCTGTTCCATGACGAACCTGGCTCGTAGGAGACTTCAACTGGCGTCTGGCCAATCTCCGTGCTATGCCTCTGTCTTTTGCAATGACTGCGCCTATCAAGAGACTTCCTCAGCCTGCGAATGGCTGAGTAGAGGCTATGGTACTTTCCATCAGACACTGGCTTCTCAATCTGCCATTTCTGAAGCATGGCTTCAAGCTGCTGCATGTCAGTGCTGGCTTGTGTAGCGTCAAACAAGGAGTGGAAACGGTCCATTGTCAAGTGAAAAAAGTTGATGATGATCTGAAATGCCGTGTCCCAGTCATTGACGCCGTCGTCTTTTTTCTCGAGGTCGCCTATTGTTCCCCTTTGAGTCAGAAGCCTCATGCAGTTGACGAGGTATTCTTGAAACCCTTCCACTTCAACCATGGTTGCGAGGGTCGTGTTAACCTTGCTCGAAGCAGGGTTGTTGCAAAACTCGGGCTGAAAATGCAACGAAACATAAACCAACGTGGGATGTTCAGGATCTAACGAAGATAAAATGAATACGAGCAGAATCACGAACTGGTACCTGGCAAACGACTCGTAACAATGGCAACAAAACACTCTGGAAGAAAACTCTCTTGGAATTGTTTCCAGCTGCCACTGAATCTGAAGAACCGCATGCAACAGCTTCCTGACAGATACTGATCAGCTTCTTCCTGCCGAAATACTTGTCGTTCGCGAGATCAATGACCAAATCTGCAAGGACGAATATGTTTTAGAAGCCGGTGCTCCTTGCCACATCCAACTCTCGTACTTCCTAATGTAGTACCTGAAGCATCGTGAGCTGCCATTGCGAGGACGAATCTTCTCATTTGAAACTGATTCGTGAGTGGTCTGTCGTTCGGCATGAACGTCCAAAAGCTCGGGCCACTTGACTCTGACTTGTCCGTCCCTTTTCCTCCATTTTTGTTTCCATCCTTCCCGTTCTCTACCCCGTCTCTAATACCATCGTCCGCTTTCTCTCCTCTGTGACTGCATCCTTTGATCCCATCACTCTCACCAGTTCGACTCTCGTTATTTCCGTTTCCACCATTTCTATTTCCTTCGCTGCACTTTCCACCACGATTCCGACGTCTATCACGCTTTCTGTTCTTAGCATTCCTCTTTGTTCCAGTTTTGTCAAAATCCCGGCCACGTTTATTGCCGACTCTAGGCCCGCCAGACTGGGAATCCATGGCGTAACGACCAGAACCAGACTTAAGTACTGGAAACTGGGTCGCGAAATCTGTCTACTGGTAGTCATCATGGCTAAATAGCAACAGCGAGGAGCTGGAGAACACAGCAATGCCTCAGATGTCACGAACATCATTGGTGATAAGAGCAAGGTCATGAAATGAAACCAGAGATGCTGCTGGTTTAGTCCACGCCTTGCTCACGCCTAATTTTCCCCCTCTCAGTCCAAGGTCGGAGCTGTGTGCATCAGCACTCATGTTGCTTTTGGATGGGATCTCCAGTTGCGAGACCCACAATTCTTCGCTTAGCCTGGAAACCAGACACTTTCTGCTTTCGTCAAGTTCTGCAGCTGGTCGCGAACGATGATAGCTCCAGCTTTCAAGTCGAGTTTCTCAAGGTTCGTAATTTTCGTTATAGAAAGATGTCGAATACGGCAACAACAAACTTCGATAAAGAATATCTATGTTTTGCACTACAAGTTTCCCCCTGTACAATAGTTCCCATTGCAAATATTATTTCACAGCACAAATCGCATTCTGTAGACCTAGTCCATCACGCCCCAACTACACTGCATCCTCCTCATACTGCAACCGAGGCACTTATTGTCGACACTACGGTTGCGACCTCTCCCATGGTCCCGCCCGCGTCAGAGTCGAGGAAATCGGGGTTGAGAAAACGCGTTTTCCCTCCATAATCGCGACTCAGGGAATCCCCGACACTCGAGAACAAGCAGCCTAGACATCTGTCTGTCGTAAGATAGGATCGAGAATCTCAACCTCATAGAACTATCGTCACATGAAGGCTTTCTTGCGCATACACAAACGAGTTTCTTCCATCAGTTCTCACGTCTCCACCTTTTCATCTCGCTCGCATAAGTTCCCGTCGACGCGAATCTTTTGAGAAGGAGCCGTCTCCCTGGTCTTGTTCCTCAGACGTCCGTTAATACCTGTCCTTCCGTCGGTTGCCTTGCTTCCTGTTACAGTAGTTTTCGCGCGGTAATTCGCACACTCTTATCGGTCTCAACGCTAGCGTGTCCACTCATTCCCGGAATTCCCGGATTCCGATCTTCACTCATGGGCAAACCTCGTTTATGTCACATCATCACTAGCAAGCCACCGCAACAATGGCGGCAGCGGCGGCGGAAGGTGGAGGTCAAGGGCCCACCACCATCACTTAGTTGTGTGCGAACCTTCATGAGGTGATCCTGGTTACGATCAACTTCTGATCGCAGCAGGGTAGTGTAAGGAAATTCCCTTTTCCTTAATCAGGGTTCACTTCTTCGCGTACAACCCCCCACACTTTCGGACTTCGCACCTTCGGGCAGCAGCGGCGGCGGCGGCGGAAGCGGCAGTTTAGGGATCCTAGGCAATAATAGCAACTTAGGGCTACTAAGCCCCGTGAACGAGCAGCGATTGGTCGCAGGTGTCTCCGCAATTCTCGGCTCGCAATGGAGCCGCCGGCTGCTCCTATTGGCTGTTCTCTTCTTCGCGTGGCTCACGTTCGTTCTGTCGACGTTTCTCATGCTGCCACGTGTCCACACGCTACAAGCCATCCAGCGGAACAGGCTGCGAAGAGAGAATCACGGAGTTCGCGTGAGCGGGCTATTCGGAACCAAGGATTCGAATTACATGCACGAAGGAAGCAAAGGGTACAGTAAACTACACGATACAGTCCGTCACGGAAACGCAATCGGAAATAAAGGCATTATAGGAACCAGCGGTGCGAGCCCAGGTGGAAGCAGGGTCGGTGGAAGCAGCATAGGAATTGACGAGAGAGAGAGTGTGTACAGTTCGCAGAACGTGACTGGGGGAGGGTTTACAAGGGAAGGCAGTACTCAGGGACTGATTGGAAGTGGCACAGGTTCAGTCTCCAGCAGCAGCAGCGGCAGCAGCAGCATCAGCAGCAGTAGGAGTAGCGTTGGGGTTGGCAGCAGAGAGGCTGCATTGGACGGGCAGAGGGAGGATGGCACTAACATTGCTGACAGTAACGGGAGAAATGTAGGGGACGGCAGTGACAGTAACGAGAGCGGTGGTGTGGACAGCAGCACGAGCAGCAGTGGTGATGGGCCTGGAGATGAAAATTCAGGTGAAAATTCAGGTAATGGGATAGGTGATGTGAAGGTGGATCAAGAGCAGCTGAAGCAGGAGCTGCTACAGGATGGGGCAGTGGAGGATGATGTGGTGGCAGGAATCCCGGATCTCACTGCTGACCTGGACGAATCCGAGTGGGCCAAGGCGTCAGCACGCAATCGGGAGCGGATAAGTGGGTCCACGTCAGCAGAAGCCGAGACAGGGGTGGGGGATATGACTGGTTCCAGAAGCAGCAACAGCAGCAGAATTAGCATCAGTGACAGGGAGAGTACCAGCAACGCCAGCTACAGTCACAGCAGCACCAGCCGCATTTTCCCAGGAGGGGAATTCCAGCAGCAGCAGCAACAGCGCGGTCCTATGGTGGTATCAGGGTCGTTAGACAACTCGGATTTTGACTTCCCAATCGACGCTGCTGCTGCCGGTGCCGCTGCCTCACTAGCAGACGAGGAAAACGAGGACGACGGGGTGGAGAGAGGCGAAACCGGGGAAGGTGGGGGGATCGGGGCAGCCGGAGAAGCAGGAGGAGCAGGAGGAGCAGGAGGAGAGGGAGGAGAGGGAGGAGAGGGAGGAGAAGCCGAGGAGGAGGAAGGGGAGGGGGACGGGGACGGAGGGGAGGGGGACATAGAAGACGATGACATGGACTTGTCATACGATTCAGAGGACGAGTTAGAGGTTGTCCTGCTCCTCCGCATCCCTCGCAACATGGCAGAGCTCCGAGCTGTGCGAGCCACCCTCGCGCTCTACAAGCGAGAGTTCCCGCTCCGAGTCGTCGTCATTTTCGTCAATCTCTACCTCTTCCTGCAGTCGTTTTGCATCCCGGGGACTATTTGTATGAACCTGCTCGCCGGGTCGCTGTTCGGGTTTTTTCCGGGGTTATTCACGATCAGTATCCTGATTTCCGCGGGTGCCTGCGCGTCGTACACCATCTCCCACTTCCTCCTGAGAGACATAGTCTACTATTATTTCCCGGATAAGTGCGACTGGATGCGTACGGAGGTCCAGCGGCACTATACCTCTTTAATCTACTATGTCATCTCGCTCCGCATCACCCCCATCATGCCTACCTGGGTAGTTAATCTCTGCTCCCCACTCGTCGGCATACCCATCCGGATCTACCTCATTGGAACGTTCTTCGGGTTCATCCCCTCTAGTGTGATTCAAGTTAAAGCCGGGTGCGTGCTCTCGACCATTAACTCGCTCTCGGACCTCTACGACGCGCCTACTATTGCGGCTTTATTCCTAGTAGCCATATTGGCCCTCGTTCCTCCGCTCTCTAAGACCCTCTGGGCGCAGAGGCTATGGGCTCAGGCCATGAGCAACAGCACAGTAGCCGCTTTCGTCTCCTTTATAAGCAGCCTTGGTGTTAGCAACAGCGGGGTTGGCAGAGTGTCGTACTCCCCGTTACGGCTGCATTATAGCGGGATTGGGATGCACGGTGGGGGGGTTGTGAGCAGCGGTAGTGGGAGCAGTGGCGGCTGTGGCAGTGTGGGTGTGAGCAACAGAAGTGGTGGCGGCAGTAGCAGTGGCAGTGTGGGTGTGAGCAGCAGCAGCACGGGGGTTCAGTTGGAGGGTATGGAAGCAGGGATAAGACCATTGGCTGGGAGCAGAGCAGTCTCGGGGGCGCCCTGAGGGGAGTGTGACAGCAACAATGGCAGTGTGGGTGTGAGCAGCAGCAGCACGGGAGTGCAGCTAGAGGGCATGGAAGCAGGGATAAGACCACTGGCTGGGAGCAGAGCAGTGGCGGGGGCGCCCTGAGTGGGGAGTTGTGTGAGCAGCAGTGTGGGTGTGAGCAGCAGCTGTAGCAGCCACTGTAGCACCACCACCAGCAGTGGCGGCAGCAGCAGCAGTGGGAGGGTGAGGGTGAGCAGCAGCAGCACGGGGGTGCAGCTAGAGGGTATGGAAGCAGGGATAAGACCACTGGCTGGGAGCAGGGCAGTGGGGGGGGTGCATGGTCAGTCCCCCTGAGGAGAGCAGGTGAAATGTCAGCAGCAGCAGCAGCAGCAGCAGCAGCAGCAGCAGCAGCAAGGGGGTTCAGCTGGAGGGTATGGAAGCAGGGATCAGACTGCTGGCTGGGAGCAGGGCAGTGGGGGGGGGGTGCATGGCCAGTCGCCCTGAGAGGCGTTTTGCAGCAGCGTCAGCAGAGGCAGAAATTCAACAGTACCAGCCACAGTATCAGCCACAGTATCACCCATAGCAGCAGCACGGGGGTCAGCTGGAGGGCATGGAAGCAGGGATCAGGCCATTGGCTGGAAGCAGGGATCAGGCCATTGGCTGGAAGCAGGGATCAGGCCATTGGCTGGAAGCAGAGCAGTCGTGGGGGTGCATGGTCAGTCGCCCTGAGGGATCTGGGTGTGAAAGCAGCAGCAACGTTAGCAGTATCAGCCACAGCAGCAGAAGCAGCTGCAGCAGTGGTGGCTGCAGCAGCTTTGGCAGTGTGTGTGTGAGAGCAGCAGCAGCACGGGGATTCAGCTGTAGGGTATGGAAGCAGGAACCCGACCGCTAGCTGGAAGCAGAGCAGTGGGGGGAGTGCATGGTCAGTCGCTCTGAGGGAGGAGTTGTGTGCCGTGGTCAGGTCTGGGTGTGGTCAGGTCTGGGTGTGGTCAGGTCTGGGTGTGGTAGGAACTGATGCTGCAGCGTCGACAGCAGAAATGTCAGCAGTTGCAGCCACAGCAGCAGCTGCACCAGCAGCTGCAGCAGTGGTTGTTGCAGCGTGAGGAGCAGGAGCACAGGAGTTTGGTGGAGTTGAGTTGATAAAACTGATTGCTCCCATTGTGTGGTGTAAGGAATGGGTTGGTTGGTTTGTACTACCGTAGTGGCGGATTTCTTTTAGAGTCGGTTTTGCGCATGTTGCCTTTGGTTGCTTGTGCATGTGACTGAACATGTTTTGTTCGTGCAATCCCAGTTTGCAGTTTGCGCACATGGCTTGTGTTTTGCTCACGGAATCTCAACTGAGGAGCAACAGCTAGAGCTGGTAGGTGGATGAGAGTGTGCCTTGTCTCTGGCTGGTGGGATTTCTTGACCTTGGTTTTGAGACCACATTACCGGTACTTTTACGATGCCGTACTACCGTATGTTCTGCTGCAAGTGGAGTGGAGGAGGAGCCCTTGCAACCAAACCAAATACGTAATGTATATGTTACCAGAATAATGTGTCAAAATATATGCATATCATTATCTAGGCTATATTGGGGATAGCCTTAGGGGGTACACAAACTTTCTCGATACCCTAGTCTTGTACCCAAACCTTCACCTAATCTACTCATTCTTGCCTTAGTTCTTAACATGGTAACTAGAGCAGGAGGTCTCTAGGACCTACGAATCGGGCCCACCTAACTGCCTGCCTTGCCTACTGCCCGCGCGCGCCTCGGCTGCAGCGCGCGTCACTTTTTTTTCGCGCGCGCCTCGCCTACTAGCGCGCGCGCCACTGTTTTTAGCGCGCGCCACTGCTGTAGCGCCGCGCGCCGGCCCGCGTCACCCGCGTAGAGCCCGCGTAGAGCCCGCGCAGCCCGACGCCGCGCGCAGCCCGCCGTCGCGTGCGGCCCGCCGTCGCCCCGCGCGCCGCGTCTGTCGCCAGCGCGGCCCGCCGCTGCGCCGCGCGTCGCGTCGGCCGCCTACGCGGCCCGCAGCTGCTTAACGCGCTACCGTAGGAGCTCGCGTGCGGCCGCTCCTGCCTGCTGCCTGCTGTCTCCTGCCTGCTGCCTGCTGCCTCTGTCTTTGCTTGTGGCCTGGTGCCTGCTGCCTCTTGTCAGCTGCCTGCTGCCTCCTGCCTCTGCCTACTGCCATTATGACGACGCCTAACGTTCTCGCGTTCGAGCCTGACGGTCGCCCCATAGAGTTTGCTGTGTGGTTAGATGATCTCCAACTGTTCCTTCTGATCGATGCCAAATAGGGCGTTTCACTGTTCGATTACGTGTCTGGCACTGCCGTTGCTCCTGCTGCCGATGCTCCTGCTCTCGAACGCTCGCAATGGCAAACTCGTGATGCTGCTGCACGCCTAGCTATTAGGAACCATCTGCCGATTACTGAGCGCACGCATTTCAGCCAGCACAAAACTGCTAAGAAGCTGTACGACGCTGTAGTTGCGCGCTACTCCTCCCGGGCCACTGCAGCCATAGGTCGGCTCATGCTACCCTACCTGTTCCCCGACCTTTCCTCGTTCACCACTGCTGAGGACCTCATTTCCCACCTGCGCGCTACTGACACTCGCTTTCGTGCCGCCCTTTCAGCCGAGTTGCTAACCCCCCCCCCCCCCCCGATGTACTTCACTCTCTATTTCCTCGTCACCCGCCTCCCTGACACTCTTAGCTCAGTCAGGGACCACTTCCTCGCGCTAGACCCCCCCACTCTCACTGTTGACGACTTCAAGAAGCACCTCCTCGCAGCAGAGAAGAACATCCTCGCTCTAGGTGCTGCTCGTGGCACTCCTCGCTCTCCCCTCTTTGAGGGGTGCTCCCCCTCCCCTCTCACCCCCTCCTACGCCTCCGCAGCTGCTGCTCACGACTACCTTGGTGCTGAGGAGGTCGGAGCTGCTTCCGCTCCTAGTGGGAAGCGTCGCAGCGGCAGGGGCGGCAGGGGTGGCAGGGGCGGTGGGGGTGGCGGTGGAGGTGGCAGTGGTGCAGGCGGCGGGGGAGGTGGAGGTGGTGGGGGTGGTCGTGGGGGTGGAGGCGGTGGAGGTGGTGGTGGGGGCGGCGGAGGCACTGGGAGTGGTGGAGTGGGTAGCAGCGGCGGTGGGGGAGGAGGGAGCGGTGGTGGTAGTGGTGGTCAGGGCCAGCAGCAGCCGCAGCAGCAGCAGCAGCAGCGTCAGCGCCAGACCCCCACTTCCCAGCAGCTTCTTGACTGGCATGCCGGGCGTGGGGCTTCTGGGGGTCCTGGTCGCTGCCCCTATATCATTCGCACAGGTCCCCGCACTGGTCGCCAGTGCACAGGTTATCACACTGAGCAGCGCTGCTTCGCTCGGCTTAGCGACGCCTGGCGCGCCAAGTTTCCTGATACTCCTGAGTTCCCCAACTGGGCAGAGCTACTTAGGCGTGATGTACCTATCTTTGATCTTGACTATGAGGCTATTCTTGCTGCTATGTATGCATTGTCTGTTAGTGCTGAGGGTGACTGCTACTTGTGTGTGCCGCCGGATCCTGGTATAGTCCCTGGTATAGCGCCTGCAGCACTAGGTGCTTGTGCGTCTGCTCCCCCTGGTACTGCGCCTGCACAGGCCTTGCACACTTTTACACTTGACTCTGGAGCTTCCCGCTGTTTCTTTCGCGACAGTACCAGAGTCACTCCCCTCCCTGCACCTGTTCTTGTCTCACTGGCTGACCCCTCTGGGGGCCCAGTGCTTGCACGGTCTTCCACCGTGCTTCCGTGTCCGGCGGTCCCGTCTGGTGAGCTGTCTGGTCTCCACCTCCCCTCGTTCTCTACAAACTTGGTGAGCAACGCTGTCCTCCAGGATGCAGGGGTTGACACCTTCACCCCTGGCCGGCAGCGTGTGGCGATTTGCACGTGCCCCGAGACCGGCCGCCACCTGGCCACGTTCACTCGTGCGCCAGGGTCCAGTCTGTACACCCTCACCACTACGTCACGCTCCGCCCCTTTGTCTCCCCAGTTACACGCGTCTGCTCAGGTAGCTACCCAGTGTGAGTGTCGCCGGCTGTCGCACGACACTCTCCTGTGGCACCACCGCCTTGGTCACCCCTCCCTACCTCGCCTGCATAGCATGCACTCTCGCTTCTTGGTCTCTGGTCTTCCCAGGTCTCTGCCTGCCCTCCCTCCCTCGCCTGCGCCGCCCTGCATTCCTTGTGTCGAGGGGCGGCAGCGCGCCGCTCCTCACTCCTCCTCGTTCCCTCTCACAGAGGCTCCCTTGCAGACTCTCCACCTGGACGTGTGGGGCCCAGCCCGCATCCGGGGACAGGGCCACGAGCGGTACTTCCTGCTGGTTGTCGACGACTACACGCGTTACACCACGGTCTTCCCCTTGCAGCGCAAGGGGGATGTCCCTGATGTTTTGATCCCCTGGATCCGCGCTGCTCGTCTCCAGCTCCGCGAGCGGTTCCAGTCGGACTTTCCCGTCCTGCGTCTGCACTCTGACAGAGGTGGTGAGTTCTCCTCAGACCTCTTGGCGGCCTTCTGTGCGGAGCACGGCATCCGCCAGACTTTCACGCTTCCGGCCTCTCCGCAGCAGAATGGGGTTGCTGAGCGCCGCATTGGCTTGGTCATGGAGGTCGCTCGTACCTCCATGATCCATGCGGCTGCCCCCCATTTTCTGTGGCCGTTTGCGGTCCGGTACGCCGCGCATCAGCTCAACCTCTGGGCCCGTGTCTCCTTGCCGGAGACCTCGCCCACACTGCTGTGGACGGGGAAGGTTGGCGACGCGTCGCGTTTCCGGGTCTGTGGTGCCCGTGCCTTTGTCCGCGATACCACTGCGGACAAACTCTCCCCTCGCGCCATTCCTTGCGTCTTCCTTGGCTTTGTCCCTGACACGCCTGGCTGGCAGTTTTACGACCCCGCCTCGCGCCGTGTCTTTGTGCCTCAGGATGTCACCTTTGACGAGTCGGTCCCCTTTTACCGCCTCTTCTCCTACCGCACTGCTCCTCGCCCCCTCCCGCCACTCTTTCTCGCCCCAGGTCCTCCCCAGGTAGTCCCCCTCCCTGCGCCAGGCCCTGCTCCTTCAGGTGTTTCTCAGGTAGACCCTCCCGTCCCTGCGCCTGTTGAGGTCACTGGTGACTCCGGTTCTGCTGGGAGTGGTGCTGTCCCTGGGGGTGCGGAGCTTGGGGGTGCGCAGCGTGGGGGTGCTGAGTCTGGGGGTGCTGAGCGTGAGGAGCCTGAGGGTGCAGAGCCTGGAGGTGCTGAGCCTGCGCGTGAGGAGCCTGGAGGTCCTGAACCTGGGGGTGCTGCGTCTGGGGGTGCTGCGCCTCCGTGTGCGGAGCCTGGGGGTGCTGGGTCTGGGGGTGAGTCGCCTGAGGGTTCTGAGACTGCTGTTACGCGGTCTCCTTGGAGTCGCCGTCTTCGTGCGCGTGTGCCTCTCACCTCCCAGCAGCTGCACGACTGGTACGGTCGCCGTCAGCGTCGCGCTTCTGCACCTCAGGACTCTACTGCTGGGGGTTCTTCTGCTGGCGTCACTGGAGTTGGGAGTGGTGCTGGTCCTTTGCCTGCTGGAGGTGCTGGTGTCGCTGGTCCCGGAGGTGCTCGTACTGGGGGTACTGGAGCTGCTGGGGCTGGCGGTGGTGTGTCTGAGGGTACTGCTGCTGGTGGCACTGCGGTTGGAGACCCTGGGACTGGGGGTGCCGGTTCTGGGGGTGATGCACCAGGAGGGGCTGGAGCTGCTGGGGGTGCTGGAGCTGCTGGAGGTACTGGAGCTGCTGAGGGTACTGGAGCTGCTGGAGGCGCTGGAGCTGCTGGAGGTACTGGAGCTGCTGAGGGTGCTGGACCTGCTGGAGGTGCTGGAGCTGCTGAGGGTGCTGGAGCTGCTGGAGGTGCAGGAGCTGCTGAGGGTGCTGGAGCTGCTGGTGCTGGTGGCACTGCACAGCCGCGCCTGTTCTTTGCTCCGCCGTCTCCGTCGTCTCTGCCACCGCCTGACTCTGTGCTTCGCCAGGTTCTTAGCCTCCCGTCGTCTATTGGTCTTCCGTTACAGCCTGGCTCACCTCTGCCTGCTCCTTCTCCTTACGCTGAGCAGACAGGGGGCATTACTGAGCGTCGTGAGCCTGCGTTGCGTCCTGTATCACCTGTCCGTTCTGGTCGTTCCAGACGTCGTGTTCCTCGTCAGCGTCAGCCGGCTGTCCCCGGCCCTTCCCTTGTAGTCCGTCGTCCTTCCTCTCCTCCACAGAGTGTTCCTCTGCCGTCTCCTCCTGCGTCTTCTCTGCCTGTCGTTGCGGACCCTGAGTCTGACCAGTTTCGTACTGAGCACCCTACTGTCACGCGTCTGCTAGCCACTGTTGTCACTGACTCGTCGTTTGAGTCCACTGCTGCGTCTGCCCTAGTCGTTGAGCTTGTCGACTTTGCTGCTGCCTGTCGTCTAGACTACGCTGCTAGTCTTGTTGCTGAGTCTGAGTCTGTCTGTCCTCCGTCCGTCGGGGGTGAGTGTGCTCTTAGCACGGACGTCCTTGAGGACAGGCACGAGGACCTTGAGTGTCTTGCGGCCGCTGCACCTCATCTCGTGGCCATGCTGCTTGCCCCTGAGGGAGACTCAGATGCACCAGACATCCCCACCCCGCGCTCTTACGCTGAGGCGATCGTGGGTGAGTACTCCTCTCAGTGGCAGACAGCCATGGACGCAAAGATGGCATCCTGGAAGTCCACAGGCACGTACGTCGACGAGGTTCCCCCTCCTGGGGCGAACACCGTCAGTGGCATGTGGATCTTCATGGTGAAGCGGCCGCCAGGTTCTCCGCCTGTCTTCAAGGCTCGTTACGTTGCTCTAGGTTTCAGTCAGCGAGAGGGAGTTGACTTCTTCCAGACTTTCTCCCCCACCCCGAAGATGACCACTCTTCGGGTGCTGCTGCACGTTGCCGCTCAGCGTGACTACGAGCTTCACTCTCTTGACTTCAGCACAGCTTTCTTACAGGGCAGCCTGCACGAGGAGATCTGGCTGCGCCGCCCACCCGGCTTCACTGGGTCGTTCCCTCCTGGTACCCAGTGGAGCCTCCGGCGGCCGGTCTACGGTCTCCACCAGGCGCCACGTGAGTGGCACGACACACTGAGGACGACACTTGCGGCTCTTGGGTTTGCTCCTTCGACTGCTGACCCGTCGCTGTTTCTGCGCACCGACACTTCACTGCCGCCGTTCTACATCCTCGTGTACGTCGACGACTTGGTCTTTGCCACTGCTGACACTGAGGCTCTCGCCCTGGTGAAGTCGGAGCTGCAGAAGAGACACACGTGCACAGACCTGGGTGAGCTGCGCAGCTACCTTGGCTTGCAGATCACCCGGGACAGAGCACGCCGCACCATCACACTGACTCAGTCACACATGGTGCAGCAGGTCCTTCAGCGCTTCAGCTTCAACTGGTCCTCAGCACAGCACACTCCTCTGGCTACAGGTCATTTGCTCTCAGCTCCACCTTCGGACGAGTCCGTAGAGCCGAGTGGTCCTCACCCAGAGCTAGTGGGCTGCCTCATGTACCTGATGACCTGCACTCGTCCTGACCTTGCATACCCTCTTGGCCTTCTGTGGCTCCTGGTCGGCACCGAAAGGTGCACATGGATGCTGCTAAGAGGGTACTGCGCTACTTGTGCAGTACATCGGGCATGGGGCTCGTGCTTGGAGGGCGGAGTCCAGTTGTCCTCACTGGGCACTCAGACGCTTCTTGGGTTGACGACCAGGCTACACAGCGGTCGTCACAGGGTTACACGTTCAGCCTTGGCTCCGGCTCTGTTTCTTGGCGGTCTACACGCTCGTCTTCTGTTCTCAGCTCCAGTTGTGAGGCTGAGATCTACGCCACTGCCATGGCTGCACAGGAATTACGCTGGCTCACCTACCTGCTGACCGACCTGGGAGAGCGGCCTCGTTCTCCTCCAGTTCTGTACGTAGACAACAAGGCCGCCATTGCCTTGTGTCAGGAGCATAGACTGGAGCACAGAACGAAGCACATCGCTTTGCCTTGGCTCGAGAGTTGCAGCAGCGGGGTCAGCTTCGCCTTGCTTACGTGGCCACTCGGGCCAACACTGCTGATATATTCACCAAGGCACTTCCGTCTGGTGACCATCAGCGCTTTTGTACTTTGTTGGGCCTTGTGCCTACGTTTCCACGCTTGCTGTAGTCGCTGCTTGTACTGTGATCTATATATATACCGTATTCTCCCGGATAAAACACCCTAGGGTATTATGAAAACCACTGGGAAAAAATGGGGGGGGTCTCCTCAAAGGAAAATCGTGCATAATACCCGGGTCTTACTATATGGTATATTTTTTATCAAGCAGAAAAGATGTGAAACAAAATCAGGGGGTCTGACTTCACTTCAAGATTGTTGATCAGTGCCGCAAAACCGAGTATACGAGGATAACGTGACTGCCCACTGGAATCTGCCACGTGGCAAATTCCAGTGGGCAATTCTGGCACTTGATAGGGGGAAACAAAGCCAATTGCGTGGCGAGAGTTCATGCAACCGCCGAGGCCGGAATCGCGCACGGTGGTGCGTTGTTATTGTACCAGTCAGTTCTTGACTGGTTTGGTCACGTGTCTATGCCTCATGTGAGAAGGTGATTTTCACCTCTTGGGCCACTTGCAGCGGAAGATTCGTTTGCGTGGCGACAGCGAGATTGTGGGAGGGGGGAAATCTCGGCAGATTCTACGGTAAGTGAAAGTACACGCGAAATTTCATCTAGGGAGCAATTCTCGCAATACCCCCCCGTAAGGAATCTGACTCAATAACAGCTATAATAGGAATCTATAAGAAGAGGGGGGTGTTATAGAGAATCACCCCAAAAGGGGGGATATAATACTAACGGGGTCGGATATAACACCCACCCCGTATTAGCTACCCGGGGGTGTACAATTACGGGGGGGTGTTTTATCCGGGAGAATACGGTACCTGCATGCTTGCTCTTGCTAGCTTGAGATCACTGTGCTGTTCTTGTTGCTTATATACCTCTGCATGTGGACTGGCCTTGTGGCCGTTTGCTTGTGCTCAGTGTGTGTGGTGCAGGGCAAATTTTATCAGTGTAAATCACCCTGATACCCTGATTATCAGGGTGGTTTTCGGTAGTCACACTGATGGCCTAGGGTAATTTTTTCGTGAGCTAGAATTTTCCTGATATGCCAGGGTTCACATTTAAGGCACACTGATGACTCAGGGCTATTGATTTCATAACGAGTTTTACCCTGAAGCGAGTAACATGCCCCCCCCCCCCTCTCCCCCCCCCTTCCCCCCCACCCGCTTCCCCCTAACCCCCTCCCTCTTAATTCACTTTTCAATTTTTATTCTGGTGTAACAGAGATGTAGTTATTTGAGCTAGTAGGATACTCCTGGTCGGTAGATAGGACTTCGGAAGGATGATGACTCGAGATCGAATCTTGCAGCCCGTATTTTATTTTTAACTTCAGTAGAAACACCTCATCAGGGTAATGAAAAATGTTACACTGTGGCATAAGGGTAAATTTTGTGAAACTATGGCAAACCCTGATGGAAAATAATTTTCCCAAGGGGTCACACTGATAATCAGGGTTTTGCAAAGGTGCAGGACTGATGATAAGGGTTGCTTAAAACCGAAAATTAGCCCTGGTGTGGTGACGTTGTGATCCACCATGAGCTGTGTTTTGTTTCTTCTCTTGACTGGTCTTGTGACCGTTGCTTGCTCTGGCTATCCCCCATTTCGCCTATGGGGGGGGGTGTGTCAAAATATATGCATATCATTATCTAGGCTATATTGGGGATAGCCTTAGGGGGTACACAAACTTTCTCAATACCCTAGTCTTGTACCCAAACCTTCACCTAATCTACTCATTCTTGCCTTAGTTCTTAACATAATGGCGCCCCTGCAGGCTTGGCTTCCCCCCATTGGCAAAAGCAACTTATAATGCAAACAGAGATATGGCTCTATGGCACTTTCATATCCAGCAGATTCTCCTGTACGTTATCAGAATTTTTAGAAACGATTCTCCAGTACCGTAGAAGACTCGGCAGTTTGAGAAATGTTGATAAATAATTAGGCTAATTGGAGGCAGGGTTTCCGTAACACTACAGAGGACTGTGCTGCAGCCTGCAGTGCAGCATAACAACATATGTGCTCACCAGGCAGCATAATCTAACTTGATCCCCACCGGGCTGCGCTCCCTCCAGCCATTGAGCCAGCAATTTGGGTCTGTCTGAGCCAGCAATTTGGGTCTGTCTGAGCCAGCACAAAAACCGCCCTCTTCACCGCATCGCACTGCACTTGATCACAACAGAATCACCACAGCCACAACCAGCAGCAGAACCAAACCCGCTCCCCTTCTCCCCCCCACCCCTTTGACCGGCCGATCAAAGTTGACCCTCCCTTTCAGCTGGCTGCCATACTCGCTGTAATTCGCTCCCTTGAACCAGCACTTGAGCCGCCTGGGGTCCGACTGAGCCAGCACACACTTATCATTCTTCTTCCACCGCTGCACCCTAAACCACCCTCTGCACCGCACCGTACCGCATCACAACAACACCGCCGCAGCTACAACCAGCAGCAGAACCAAACCCGCTCCCCTTCTCCCCTCCACCCCTTTGACCGGCCGATCAAAGTTGATCCTCCCTTTCAGCTGGCTGCCATACTCGCTGTAATTCGCTCCCTTGAGCCAGCACTTGAGCCGCCTGGGGTCCGACTGAGCCAGCACACACCTGTCGTTCTTCTGACAGCGCTCTACACACGCAGCCGAGTCCAGCCCCTCCCCCCCCCCCACCTCCGGGCCCGTGTAATCCAAGTCCTTGTCCTTGAACCGAAACCCGTACTCTGGGTTGTGTGAGAGGAGGAAATGAGAAACAGGGGGAAAGGGAGGGAGGAAAAGGAGAAAGGGGAGAGGGAGGGAGGGAGGCGGGAGGGGAATAAGGGAAAGCTGCTTCACAATCCACAAGCACGCCTCTCTCCACCGCACCGCACCGCTCACTTGAGCCGCTTGGGGTCCGACTGAGCCAGCACACACCTGTCGTTCTTCTGACAGCGCTCCACACACGCTGCCGAGTCCAGCCCCTCGCCCCCCCCCACCTCCGGGCCCGTGTAATCCAAGTCCTTGTCCTTGAACCGAAACCCGTGTGGGGAGGAAAGAGGGGAGGGAGATTGGGGTGATGGGGGCCTGTGTAATCCAAGTCCTTGTCCTTGAACCGAAACCCGTACTCTGGGTTGGGGGGAGGGAGGGGAGGGGGAATGTCAGGGAGACGGGGAAGCGGGGAAATGGGGAAACGGGGAATGGGAATGGGAGGGTGAACGGGGTGATGGGGACCCGTGTAATCCGTGTCTTTTTTCTTGAACCGAAACCCTAACTCTGGGTTGGGGGAAGGAGGCGCAGAGAGACGTTGGGGAAAGGAGGGAGGAAATGGGGACAGGGGAGAGGAGGGAGGAAATGGGGACAGGGGAGAAGAGGGAGGAAATGGGGACAGGGGAGAGGAGTGGGGAGGCGGGAGGGGGGATGAGGGAAGGGGGAAAGGCGGAATGCAGCTGAGATCTTCTTTTGGCTGAGATGTTCTCCAGCTGCACACACGCAGCTGAGATCTTATTTTGGCTGAGATGTTCTCCAGCTGCACACACGCAGCTGAGATCTTCTTTTGGCTGAGATGTTCTCCAGCTGCACACACGCACCTGAGATCTTCTTTTGGCTGAGATGTTCTCCAGCTGCACACACGCAGCTGAGATCTTCTTTTGGCTGAGATGTTCTCCAGCTGCACACACGCAGCTGAGATCTTCTCCACATCGCAATTTCCCACAAAAGCCAGGAACCCAAGGGGAGTGCTAAAGGTCTATCAATTCCCCTATTTTTGAGGCGCCTAAAAATAGTTTTCCACAAAAGCTAGGAACCAAAGAGGAGTGCCAAGATTTACCCATTCCCACACCCACCTTAAGGGTCGATGCATGTGTTGGGTTGCCCCTGCTGGCACAGCTGCTGCCCACACCCCCCCCGTTCTCCACAGCAACACAGCAAGGGAGGCTCCTGCTGCCCCCCCGCACATACCTCCCTCCCTTCACCCACCTTTAGGATCGATGCATGTGTTGGGTTGCCCCTGCTGGCACAGACGCTGGCCGCACCCCCCGTTGTCCACTGCACACTTCTTGACAAACGCCAGGTATCCCGGCGCTGTGCTCACTGCTGTGCCATACTCCTTCTTGAGCACACACCGCTGCACGCACACCGGCACGGAACAAGATGAGAGGGAAAGGATTGGACTCGCAGGGACTCTCAAACGCCAGGTATCCCGGCGCGTTGCTTAGTGCTGTGCCATACTCCTTCTTGAGCACACACCGCTGCACGCACACCGGCACATTAAATTCACAAGGCAAAGCAACGGCTGAGAACTTTCAAAGGCGATTCCAATCGTCCACTGCCGTGCCATACTCCTTCTTGAGCACACAGCGCTGCACACGGAGCAACGTCAAAAGTGGGCTTGCAACAAGGTCAAAAGCTACTCCTCAGTCCACTGCCCTGCCGTGCCGTACTCCTTCGTGAGCACACACCGCTGCAAAGGCCCATGCACACACACACAGATAGACAGCAGCATTGAATTCACAAGGCAAAGCAACGGTTGGAAACTCTCAAACGCCAGGAACCCAGGCATCGTGCTCACTGCTGTGGCGTACCCCTTCTTGAGCACACACCGCTGCATCCACGCATGCACAGCAACGAAGAAAGGGTTGATTGGATGGATGGTGGATTGAACTCGCACCAAGGTCAAAATCGAGTCCTCCTGTATGCCCGGCAGCACGTATTGTGCCGTGATGCACGGCCCGGGGTAGGCCTGGCAGTGGTGCACACATGCTCTGAGAGGCTCTACACAAGCACGCACGCACACACACACCTGCACGCCCCGCGCACCTGCACGCCCCGCGCACCTGCATGCCCCGCGCACCTGCATGCCCCGCGCACCTGCATGCCCCGCGCACCTGCATGCCCCGCGCACCTGCATGCCCCGCGCACCTGCATGCCCCGCGCACCTGCATGCCCCGCGCACCTGCATGCCCCGCGCACCTGCATGCCCCGCGCACCTGCATGCCGGGCACGTATTGCGCTGTGACGCACGGCCCTGGGTAGGTCTGGCAGCGCCTGACGCACTCAGTGGCGTCGATGTCCATGATGATGGCGTCATCGGGAACCAGCTCGCCTGTGAGATCCCACGAGGAGTTGGCGGGGGAGATGAACCCCATGGCTGGTTCAACGGGAGGGGTGGGGTGGGGTGGGGTGGGGTGCAGTGCGGTGGAGGGTGGTTAAGGGTGATGGCATCGTCAGGCACTAGCTCGCCCGTGAGATCCCACGAGGAGTTGGTGGGGGAGATGAACCCCATGGCTGCAAGGCGGGGAGGGGTGTGGGGTTCGGTGGAGAGCGGTGGAGGGTGGTTAAGCACACACGGCAGCGCCTGACACACTCAATGGCGTTGATGTCTGTGATGATGGCGTCGTCAGGCACCAGCTCCCCCGTGAGCTCCCCCGTGAGCTCCCCCGACGAGTTGGTGGGGGAGATGAACCCCACGGCTGCACAATGGAAGGGAGTGCAGTGCGGTGGGCAGTGGTACAGTGGGGTGGGTGGTGATTATTGCGTCGTCAGGCACCAGCTCGCCTGAGAGCTCCCATGAGGAGTTGGTGGGGGAGATGAACCCCATGGCTGGGTAGGAGGGAAAGGGCGGTGAAGCGCAGAGGGAAGAGGCGGGGGAAAGGGGGAGGGCAGGGGGGAGGGAAGGGACAGGGGGAAGGGACAGGGGGAAGGAATTAGGGAAGGTGCGGGAAGGAAAGAGGGAAGGGGCAGGGGAAAGGGGGAGGAAATTGGGGCCAACTTGGTGGGCGAGCTGTCGAAGTTGAACAGGTGGGCTGCGGAGGCCTTATTTCCATCAACTCTTGCTGTTTAGGGCAGGGGAAAGGGGGAGGGAATTGGGGCCAACTTGGTGGGCGATGCGGGGACGAGGAGACGAGCGTCTTACAGGTCGAGTCGCTGCATCGGAAGCTGGCTCGCGGCGCGTTCGGGTCCGAGAAATCCGTCGGGCACGGCGCGCAGAGCGCCGCGCTGCCATTGGTCGACGTCGACGTGTTGACGCACGACGACGAGAAGCACGGCAGCGCGTACGCAGTGAAGCCCGGGCTGCGCGCCGGCTGGCGATTAACGGCGGATTTCAACGCGCACCCGCCCGCGTCGTCAACGACGGCTAGGAGGCACTGCTCGCGGTCGTAGTTTAAGCACCGCCGCTGGCACTCCTCCGCAATGATTGGTCCGTCTATGTACTCTAAGTCGTTCCCCGGATAATCGTACTTTGTCGAAAGCTCTGCGAGGCCGTACGGATTGGAGCCTAGAACTTCGCAGGTCTGCGCCGCGGCGCGCGGGAGGAACGGCGCGTGGCAGTAGATTATAGCGAGGATGACAAGGAGGAGTAATTTAGGGGATACTGCGTGGATCCCTGAAAGGCGGCGATAGGAGCGAGGTCGGCGAATGGAGGTGGGAGGGGAGGGAGAGGAGTGATGGGGGGAAGGGGCTGAGTAGCCTAGACGACTGTCAGAATAAACAAGGCCATGTTGCGAAATCCCTAGGGAGTGGCTTTGTTGGAAACTAGTTCGTTGATACGGAAAATTATGGCTATTAGGGAATGGCGGAACACGATGCTGCATTGAGCTCTCTGCGCGACGCGAAGCCATGGCGTAGTAGTTGAAAGGTTGTGATAGTTGGACAGTATTAGATTGTAAGGAGGGAACACCGCGAAGGGAGAGCGCAGGTATCGAGCGCGGGTACGGACGGTGCTTGTTCTAAATGAAAATAAAAAAAGCGCGGCTTGGTAAGGGCCACTATTTATCCGCCAGAACGTGAGGCTCCCTGTGTGCCGCTCTCATACTGCCACTAACTCGAGGTGGTAAGGCGAAAGGGTTGGTGTAATTATTAGTGTAAAGCGCAATTATGGACGCTCACGATAAAACGAGCACAACTGTTGTGCGAGAAACGCGGTCAAAAGGGAAGGGACTGATTCGGGTAGGCCTGGAACACGGTGCACTAAGCTCGGTTCGCACAGACAGTTTGAAACTCACACTGGTTACTTAAATCGTTTATCTTGGAAGCGTTTCGTCACTCATTTATTTCCAGGCACGAGGTTCGCGAGAGTTGGCATGGTCAGACTTGACGGGAGGTCACAACTAGCTGTTCCCATGTTCTCCTTTACATAAGCTTCAGTCATTAGAGAAAAGTTAGCATTTTCGCAGGAACGATATTTTAGCAAAAGCTGTCACACTTCCGAAGCGGAGAGCTTAGGTGGACCAGTTGCGATTTCGGTGCTTCGGCCCACCGCTCGAGCCAGCCGCGCTTTTCGGTTCCCGCGTCGCTACTCGGCGCGACAGGTTCGTCACGTGTGTCAGAGCACAGCTTCCTGACGACGGGGTGCGACGTGTGACGATGGCCCGTAACACTGTCGCAACCGTTCGATCTTGTCATGGTATTTTTTGGTTTGTAGTTCTGTAACCCCTCGAATCGAGGTGGAAACCGAGCAGTACAGCTAATCACCCCGTGCCTGTTTACTCTTCAAAACATCAGCAATACACCCTAATCGCTAAACCCTCGGGTATTTCTGAATAAGCACCTTTGGATTTTTTTTTCAGAGGCTTGGCGTCTCGTTTCTTAGGGAGCTCCAAACTAGGTGGTTCCACGATCATCGTACCACCTGTATCCCAGTTAGGCTGTAGCCTCCCCCTCGTCGCTCTTCACTTCGACCCTCTAAAAGAACGCTAGAGTGGTAACCACAAGCGGAATCGGGAACGCTACGAATAGTTCGCCAAGTCTGTTTAGAAGCGACACGGATAGTCCATTAGAGTTCGAATCAGAAGCGAAGCGATCGATCTGACCGCAGCCATGGCTGCGGAAGGATCGTCGATGGCTGCTGTAGAGGCGGCGGCGGAAGGAGCGGCCGCGGGCGGAGCGGCGGGAGAAGCGGCGGGCGGAGCGGCGGGCGGAGCGGCGGAAGCGGGGGTGATATTCGTCCTGGAGAAGGCGTCGCTCGAAGTCGCCAAAGTCGGAAAGGTGTCTCCGCGCTTCCTAATTTCCTCTCCTTGAACCCCCGCTCGTTAAACCCCCTCCCCTCTCCGCCGGACTCGCTCCGTCGTCAACTGCGACGACCACGTCAACGGTCTCTCCCCCCCTTTCCCCGCCCCTCCCCCCATTTCTCTTCCTTCCCTTCCTCTTCCCCTTCACCCTCCCCCTGCCCCCATCCCCCGCCCCCAGACGCACGTGCTGGTTTTTGAGAATTCTCAAAAACCAGCTCGACTCAAAAGTCCCATCCCCCGCCCCCAGACGTACGTGCTGCTCAACTGCGACGATCACGCCAGCTTCCTCTTCCTCCTCAGTTACTTATTCGCCAAAATTCGCCAAAACTCCAACCTCCATCTCCCTCCCCCCCTCCAACCTCCCCCACCCCCCAAGACATACGTGCTGCTGAATTGCGACGACCACGCCAGCTTCCTGCGCCTCTCCATTCGCCAAAACCCCCAACCCTCACCCCTGCTCCCCCCTGCCCCCTTTCCGCCGCCCCATCTAACCCACCCCCCAGACGTACGTGCTGCTGAACTGCGACGACCACGCCAGCTTCCTGCGCAAGCACGGCAAGGACCCCGCGCTCTACCGCCCTGACATCTGCCACCAGGTGCAAGTTGGGGCGAGGGGGTGGGAGGAGTTTAGGAGAGGCGAGTAGGTGCGAGTAGGTGCGGGGAGGCGCGAGGAGGTTTATCTAGGTGGGACTATAGCAGAGTTATGGTGGCGGATCAGTCATGCAGCAGCTTCCTGTGCAAGCACGGCAAGGACCCCGCTCGCTCTACCGCCCTAACATCTGCCACAAGGTGGGTGCGAGTGGGTTCAGGTAGGTGTATCGTGGTGGAAAGGAGGTGTGACAAGCATGGCAAGAACCCCGCTCTCTACCGCCCTGACATCTGCCACCAGGTGGGTGCGGGTAGGTTTGACTGGATGCGAGTAGGTGTGTCGTGGGGAAGAAGCGTGGTAGTTGTGGCAAGCAAGGCAAGGACCCTGAGCACTACAGGCCAGACATCTGCCACCAGGTGCGTGCAAGTAGGTTCAGGTAGGTTCAGGTAGGTGTGTCGTGGTGGAAAGGAGGTGTGGCAAGCACGGCAAGGACCCTGAGCTCTACCTCCCTGACATCTGCCACCAGGTGCGACGTGGTGGGAGGAGGTGCGAGTAGGTGCGAGTAGGTGCGAGTAGGTTCGTCCAGGTGCGAGCAGGTGTGTCGTGGAGCAGTGGTGTGGCAAGGACCCCACGCTCTACCGCCTGACATCTGCCCGCCCTGTCTAACCCACGCTCTACTGCAGAGGGCGTTGAAGACCCTTCTCCCCCGCCCCGCCCCTTCCCCATCTACGCATCCCCCTCCCCTCCCCTCCCCCCGCCCTCCCGCCCTCGCCGACCCTAGAGGCGCTACGTCGATTTTTGAGTCAACTCAAAAGTTGAGGAATAAAGCAGGGCGGCTCAAGGCCCAATATGTGGTCACCACTCGCAACACGCTCACCCAAGTCAACCCCTCCCCCAGCTTCCCTTCCCCCTTGCCCCCCCACCCCTTCCCCTTGAACGTGTGTCTACCCCCCCTCCCCCCAACAGGCACTACCAGCCATTCCGGACAGCCCACATCCACATCCCCCTTTAACCCGACCACCCTCCCCTTGAACCAAAGTGTCATTTGAGTTGACTTGAACGTCTTCCCCCCACAGGCGCTACCAGCCATTCCGGACAGTCCACATCCACATCCACATGCACATGCACATGCACATGCACATCCACATGCACATCCACATGCACATCCACATCCACATGCACATGCACATGCACATGCACATCCACATGCACATGCACATGCACATCCACATGCACATCCACATGCACATGCACATGCACATCCACACGCACATCCACATGCACATCCACATGCACATGCACATGCACATCCACATGCACATGCACATGCACATGCACATCCACATGCACATGCACATGCACATCCACATGCACATCCACATGCACATCCACATGCACATGCACATCCACATGCACATGCACATCCACATGCACAGCCACATCCACATGCACATGCACATCAACCTTCAATCGACCTGACCGCCCTCACCTTGAACGCATGTCTAACCCCCCAGTCCTCCCCACCCCCCACCACTCCCCACCACCCACAGGCGCTACTAGCCATACTAGACAGCCTGCTCAATAAAGCTGGAAGGCTCAAAGCTCTCTACGTGGCGACCACGCGCAACACGCTCGTCCAAGTCAACCCGCACATTCCCATCCCCCTCCTCTGATCTGAATGCCCCTTCTCCCCCACACTTGTCAGGCGCTACTAGCCATACTAGACAGCCCGCTGAATGAAGCAGGAAGGCTCAAGGCCCTCTATGTGGCGACCACGCGCAACACGATCATCCAAGTCAACACCCCCTCCCCCCCCCTGCCCCCCCTCCTTTGAATGCTTGTCCATCCCCTCCACTCCCCTCAACCCACAGGCGCTATTAGCGATACTAGACAGCCCGTTGAATAAAGCTGGAAGGCTCAAGGCTCTCTACGTGGCGACCACGCGCAACACGCTCGTCCAAGTCAACCCGCACATCCGTATTCCCCGCACGTTCCGCCGCTTCTGTGGCCTCATGGGTGCGTTAAGCGGGGGGAGAGGGAAGGGGGAGAGGGATGGGTGGGTGTGTGGGTGGGCGGGAGCGGGGAAAGGTGGGGTGTGTGCATGGGCTGTCCGCGGGTGGGGGAGTGGGTGGGCGGCAGGGGATATTTGAAGAGCCTGAAACAACTTTTGAGGCGCCTCAAAAGTCGTCTCAGTTCACGCGGATTTTTTTGGGCGCCTCAAAAGCGGCGGCCGGGGAGGGGAGATATGAGGAGTCCGAAACACCGACCAACCCTGGCATTCTTCGTGCAATGAGGGAGTTTTGACCCCCCTTTAAAAAAACACTCCCTCATTTCAGTCCGCGGGTGCGTGAGTGGGAAAGCGGCCGGGGATGTATGGTGAGCCTGAAACACCATCCCCCACATCGTGTTTTGAGTCGACTCAAAACAAACACACCCGGGTGCGTGAGTGGGAGGGCGGCCGGGGATGTATGATGAGCCTGAAACGCCAACCCGCACATCCGCATCCCCCGCACCTTCCGCCGCTTCTGCGGCCTCATGGGTGGGTTGGTTGCGAGGAGGCGGGTGAAGGTTTGGTGAGTGGATTGGGGATTGGATTGGCGGGCAGGGTCAACAGTATTGGTTGGAGGTGCTCTTGAGAATTCTCAAGAGTCGCTCCAATAAAGAGGGTCAACAGTATTGGTTGGAGGGGCTTTGAGCCGACCCAAAACTCACCAAGGCAACCCCCACATTCGCATCCCGTGCTTGTTCCGCCTCTTCTCTGGCCTCAAAGGTGGGTTGAGTGGGGAGAGGGGAGATGGGTTGGGGAGTGGGAGGGCGGGCACAGGCAGTGTCTAAATCTGAGGCGTTTTGAACTGACCCAAAACTCACCAAAACTCTATATCTGAGGCAACCCCCACATTCGCATCCCTCCCAGGCTCCCACGTTCCAACTCTTCTCTGGCGTCAAGGGTGGGTTGTGGCAAGGGCGAGGGTCGGGTGGAGGGGGATCGGGAGTTTGAGTGGACTTTCAATGTGTGAACACGTTTTGCACAAAATGTGTGGGCATGTGATTGTAAGAACTCTCCTTTCCCCTACCCTCTTTCCTCCCTCCGTAATCCCTCTATCCTGCTCACTTCTCACGTTCTCCCCCCCTTTCACTTATTCTTCTCTCTTTCTCCCCCCCCCCACCCACTTCCCAACTGTCCAGCTGCTACAGAAGCTATCCATACGCGCTATAAACAGACCTTCCAGGACATGAATAGCTTTCTTCCTCCTCGCCTCCTCGCCTCCTCGCTTGCACTGATCTCCCACCCCTTTTCTTTTCCGGCCCTCACTTTCTCCTTCCGTCCTTGCTTCCTCCCTTTCCCTCCGCTCCCAACAGTTCAGCTGCTGCAGAAGCTATCCATACGCGCTACAAACGGACCTGATAAGCTGCTCAAAGTCATCAAGCACCCAGTCACCAAGTACCTGCCGCCTGGGTGCCGGAGAATAGGTGAGCTTGGATAGCAGAAACCCACCACCACTGTAAACCACTTCTCTCTAACTCGCACCCTGCCACCCACCGCCCACCACTGGTAAGCTCCTCAAGGTGATCAAGCACCCCGTCACCAAGTACCTGCCTCCGGGCTGCCGGAGAATAGGTGAGCTTCTGGTTGCGTTGCGCCATTCCCACTGTACGTACATCACTCGCTTCACAAGGTGATCAAAGCACCCCGCCACTAGCTGACTTTTGAGTCGGCTCTCCTTCCCCCCCCCCGCGTCAGCACTACAGCGCACAGAAGGTGTGTTGGCGCAGGCCAAATCGTTTGTCTTGTTGTGTTTCCCCTCCTGACCTCTGCTCCCTCTGCTCCTCCCATACCCCCCCCCCCCCCCCCCGCCCCGCATCAGGCTTGGAGTATAGCGCACAGAAGGTGGTGCATCTGCGTCAATTCTTGAAGACAACCAACTCGGAAACACTAGTCTTTGTGGTGAGCTGCAAACACTATTGCATAAACGCTATTGCTCATACACTTGATGCTCTGTGATCCCCCCCCCAAACAGCTTATTCCCCTACCCCTTCCCCCACCCCGCCCTCCTGTTTTTCCTGAAGTTATTCTGTGCTTGCAATTTTATCGCAGATTAAATTTGTGTGCCATAGTATGCTTCTGGTATGCTTCTCCTTGCCCGACCCTACCCCTTCTTCCTACTTTGTGGTATAACAGGTGGGGGCGATGGCTAGTGGTGATATCAGCAGTGACTATGTGGACGAGATGATTGCAGGTGGGTTGAGAGGGGTGGGGGAGGGAACAAGTGGGGGTTGGCATCTAAAGTGAGTGAGTGAGTGGTGCTGGCTAGTGGGGACATCAGCAGTGACTATGTGGACGAGATGATTGCTGGTGAGTGGAGGAGGGTGGGGAAGGGGAGGCTGGGGTATAGGGGCGGAGGGGGAAGGCATGGATGGATGGTGAGCGGTGTTGGCGTGGTGACTATGTGGACGAAATGATTGCAGGTGAGTAAAGGGGGGAAGGGGGAGGAGGCGAGGGGGGTTAGAGGGGGAGGGCGGGGAGGGGGAATGCATGGATGGATGCTGACCGTGTAGCGATGGCGAGCGGTGACATCAGCAGTGACTAAGGGCGTGTAACATTTTCTATTTGCTTCGTCCGGACGGCCAACTGTCCGGACGATTTTGTGGTTACTATGGTCGTTTAAACTCGCCAGGTAGCTCGTCAAAAATTGAACGACGTCGTTTGCGTCGCAGAAAACCCGTGCGATGTCGCCAGCTTCGCAAACGTCTGGACGTACGTCACACAACGTCCGAACGTTTTTGCTGTTTGAAAAATGTCACACGCCCTAAGTGGACGAGATGATTGCAGGTGAGCAGAGGAGACAGGGGAGGGGGAAGTGGCAGCATCATTAGAAAGGTGTTCAAAGGGGAGGGGGGGGAAGAGGGGTGTGTGTGATGGCTAGTGGTGACATCAGCAATGACTATGGGACGAAATGATTGCTGTTGAGTTGGTGTGGTAAAGAATGGCATGGGATTGCACGGATGTTGATGCATATAGCCTTATCTTCTCTATTGCGTCTCGTGCACTGCTTCTTCCCGTCTCTTTCCCTTCATCGTCTGCTGCCCTGGTTCTGTTCCCCTCTCTCTTTCATTTTTTTTTTTTTTTTTTTTTGCTTTCCTGCTTCTCCCTTGTTTCATGCCTGCCTTTCTTTCCCCATTTCCGCCACTTCACCCCATCAGTTTCAGAATACCCACTGAGTGCAGCCACTTGCTTGTCTCGCCTATGTACTACGTTGGAACTAAAGTGGGGCATCTTATAGGCTGTACATTGGGGGCAGTATATACCCATTTTGTTCAACATTTTTGAATAAAGTGGGGTGAATAGTTTTTTGCACATCATTGTAGTCGTATTCTCGTCCGGCAAAGTTGCTTTACACTGCTACTGTTCTGCATATGTGGAAGTTCTATATGGAAGTTATACACTAAGAGATCTGTACACGCCATCATTCAGTTTGCAGCATATTGTGTTCGAGCTGATATCGGATCCATGTCGTTATCGATGGCAAGCTTTGTGGAGGCTGTTGGTGCGTTACTCCCACAGTGCAAGCGACTGCAAGTCGTGTTGCAAGCGCACGTGGTTCGAGAAACTGATCGTTGCGAGGCGTCGAGGTGAGTGGAAGTTGCGAGGAGCGATCTTGCCCAATGCTGACATCATAATTGCATGTCACGGGCAGTGATTGGAAGTTGTCAGTACAAAATTGCTAAACTGTACAGATAGAACAACACATTCTTTCGCGCTTATAAGGTATTGGATAATTGAACTGCTGGGGAAATAGAGCAAGTAATATTAAATAGGAACGAATTGAGTGTATTTGTCTGCCCAATACTGTCTTGTCCGAAAGTTGCTATTGGCGGCGGCCTTCAAAACCGCAACGTCATCGTCTTTGCACGGGTGCTTCACTGAGGGTGGCTGACGTTGCTTGCCATCCTCCTGGGCGGCTGAAAAATGTTGACTGATGCTGAGGCATTTGTCGGTATGGAAGAGTGTTCTCCGCTCCCGTCGTTCCGTCTCTATTGGCTGCTCTCTCGTTCTGTCAGCACCTGCAACCCAATCCCAACCTCGGCTCCGCTCATCCTCCCCCCCATCGCAGCCCCAACTGGCATCGGCTGGGCAGAAGTGCCAAGATGCGGAAACGTTCCTCCCCCACCCTTTGCCCTCCCCCTTTCTCCCATGTGATGAGATGAACCTGCCTGGCGATCCCCCCATCAAAATCTTCCCCTTTCAACGTCCACCCTTCGCGCCCTCCCTGGCCTTCCACCTGATACACCCAGTTACTGTTTATATCACCAAGCGCGTTTCGGTCGGAGGTGCTTGTCCTTTTCGCCCGGTGCTTTTAACGTCTGCGAGTCACATTTCCCTGCGTTTTGCCGTCCCTTGCTCCCAAAATGTGGCTATAAATACGTTTTTGCAACTGTAGGCCGGCCTGACCTAATCATACTAATAAATTTGGCCTCGTCTTTAGCGCGAATGCGTGTAACTGTAGTGTTCTGCCACCAATTTTCTTCGACGTTTAGCAATTCAATGCTGAACTGATCACGCGTGTGAATCGATTCTATGTGACATAAACGCATCGCTCCCAACCTTCTATGTGAACGTACCGAGCCGGTAGCTCAATCGCGGGTGCATCAAACGAATAAGTGGGTGTAGCTTCGTGTGCTGGATGATCGGCTGGTCCAGTTTTAGCAGTCCACAGTTCCGAGATTCCCTGCCCGTCTGGCTATCCTACACAGCTTGTCAGACATTGCGATTGTTTGTTTAGCTAATTGAACTCCGCAACTTCAGTCATGATTCGTATGAAGGCCGACTGACACAGAACCTTTTTTAAAAATTCGAACCTGCTTGAGGGACGGTTTTCTGACTGTGGCTGGGTTGTGGAGGGTGGTATTAAAAAACATTACTTCTCCTACTTTCATCTCCACTTCTCATCTCGTCGTCACTTCTGCTTGCTGCTGCTGCCCTCCTTTCAGGGGAGCCTCCATCCACCTTCTCATCGCCTTCCCGTTTCCTGTCTCCTCAGCATCCCCCGTCCTGCCGCCACCTGTGATGCGAGTGAGTGGGCCCCTGTCCCGCAGCTCACTCTCTCCATCCCATCAGCCGACCGACGCTGCTGCGGCCTGTGAGAGTCGCTCGCAGGCTCCCCGCTCACTCTGAGAGTTCGGCTTTGCGTGCTTCAGTCACCTCCCTAAACAGTGATTGTTCAGAAGGATGGACTTGAGTACTTTTCCTTCCAGCACAGCAAAGTGCAAGTCAGAACAGCCGCTGCTCCCAGAAGCACCCACCCACACAATCGCGATTTGCGCAAGACACGGTTGGCCAACTGGCTCCAGACTGGATAAGAAGCGCCGTGACCGACGCTTGAAGTTTCTCACTCCGACACACGCAATCTTTCACCGCGGGGTGTTGCTACATACTGCACTTCACGACTCATCGAATAGTCGCCACTCCTCTCCGCAGTGCGGGTCCCACTCTTTCCCCACGATTTCCAAAATCTCTCACCGGCCTCCCACCTACCTCGCGGTCTTGCTTTAATCGCACGCAACATTCGGAAACTCGAAGGAGATTAACCCCCGACACGTGCCAATCGCGCCACGTGCTCCCTCAGCGCCCTTCCCAGCCGTATAAAGCCGTCATTTAATATTCTCACGTTGAAAACCTCGAATTGCTGCCGTCGGCGTCAACTGATCACAGAGCAGGCCAACTATTAACAATATTACGGAGACTGAACGCACCGTCGCAATAATCTCGGGAGACGAAGAGACGAAAAGCAAAAAGAAACTGCAAAATTGCGTTTAATTCTTCCACCCTTCGCGACGGAGCGAAGCCTGTCAACCTGGCGACTCTAACTCTTCCCATGGTGCCAGCCAGACTGGGAATATTTCCACCTGCGCCCGACTGGGAGCAACAGCCGCTCGAATCGCCGCAACCCCCGCCACTTCTGTCGGACGTCGCGCCGCCTCCTTCCGCAGCGACTGAGGCGACACCTGCGACTGCGACAGATGACGACGACGACGACAGCATGTTACCACCCGGGTTTCGCTTCCACCCGACGGACGAGGAGCTTCTATGTTACTACCTTCGGCGACGCGTGGACAACCGTCGCATAAGCTTCAATGTGATGGGCGACATCGACTTGTACAAATTCGAACCTTGGGATCTCCCCTCGCGCGCTTCGAGCCCCCTAATGGGAAACGACGAGTGGTTCTTTTTCACGCCGCGCGACCGGAAATATCCGTCCGGACTGCGGTCGAATCGCGCCACGCCTGCGGGTTATTGGAAGGCGACTGGGAAAGACCGGCCCGTGTTCGCCGCGAATCGCGGAGGAGGAGGAGGGGGCTCCAGCAATGGCGGTGGAGGTGGAGGTGGAGGTTCGGGCGCGACGACGGTGATTGGCTTCAAAAAGACGCTCGTGTTTTACCGGTAAGGACGACTCGCGTTCGTCGTGTAACGGGGTTGATTGAAATGAGACCCCTTTCATCGTGTGCCACCCATCCAAACTTTGTTCGGTTCAACGTTTGATGCGCTTTTTATTTGAAGCTCGTTTTGTTCAAATTTCGGAAGTTTGGTTTTGTTCAAACCCTTCCCCCCCTGCCTTCCAATTTGATTAGGGTTTCGTGGAGAAAGACGCGAAGTTTAGCTGGTAGTAGCGTCGCATGTCGTTTGAGAGTTCTTATCCAGTCGTAATGTCTCTTGCTTTCACTATGCGACAAGAGTAAAAATTCTTAGATTCTCTTTTCCTGTCGTTCCTCTCCGTCCCCCTTTCCCCAATTCCCCCATTCCAATTTTCTTCACAGCGGGCGTGCGCCAGCCGGCGAGAAGACGGACTGGGTGATGCAGGAGTACCGCCTACCCGACAGCTCCGACGACATCGCCAGCCTAATGCTGCCGGCTAGCAGTTCCGCCGGCACCGCTGACGTCACCATCGCCGCGCCGCCGTCCCCGTCCGCGTCGGGCTGGCAGAGCGCAAGCGGCCCGTCGGGAATGACTCTGTCGCAGTGGGTGGTCGTGCGCGTGTACACGCGCGGGGCGCTTCCGCAGCAGGCGCAGCCTGGGCAGCGCAGCGGAAGCAGCGGGGGGCGCCTTACAGCTCCTGGGGGATTGGGTCACGCGCTCCAAGCGCATGCGGAAAAAGCGGCGGGAAAAGCGGAGAAAGTGGGAAAAGCGGAGCTAGAGGAAGAGTCAGAGCAGCAGCGGATGATTTTGGACTCTGGCGGCAGC